AGCTCACGTGTCACCCATAAAGCGCGCGACGACCAAACCTATGACTGATCACGAGTCAGATAATTCTGATCAGTGAAATACGAAGTCAAATACATTTGTTGAAAACTTGAAGCCGGATAACTCGAACCTCCTTGAGTCGAATACCTCCCTATATCAATTTTTCTCCGAATTAGGGTTTGATTCCCTCAGAAGAAACGAGGCATTAGAAAATATCCGTAAGACATAGGCTTTCCATTCGAACCTCCTGAACTCAAATTTTTTTAGGTCTTTCGGTTATTACAGTACTTTATTGGAAAATAAAGGATAAAACGCTTGTCTCGAAGTTCAGCAGCCTGTCGACTCATTAGAGAAGCAATTCAAGGCCTAGGATATCACCGTACACAATATGTTGTTTTTCTTCATCTTACCCCGACAAAAATAATCGTTTCCCTCACTCGAACTTTTTTCTGATCCTCTGGAATTCCTTTGTAATTTCCAGAAGCGATGCCGGATCAGTATTCAAATAAGACATGCGCGAGGCAAAACAAGCCAAAGCGTACGACAGGCTCCCGGGAATGGAGAATTCGAGACAAAATCAACACCCCTAATGTCGCGAACGGTTCATCAGGAACGTATCCTTCGGAAAACAAAATCTACTCAACTTCATCGCATGGACGAATCCCAATATAGATTTTGGACGCGATACTTGTATTCCGTTGAATTTTAAGAAATGTTGGAAGTGGGAAGCAATACAATGCACTCGGTATAGTGATGAGCCACCGGAAGAGGAGATAGTGTACAGGAAAATGGAAATGAAATGTCGCCAGGTGTTTCCAAGTCAATTTATACACACTTTCACAATCTCGAAGAAAAACCGTCATCACGTTTCGGTGGTGCGGCGAAAATTTCAATGCAGTACAACGTGTCAATTTACACGGGTTTCTCCACTTCGTGAAGTACGAGAAAATCACGATGCTAAAATCAGGAACTTTAATGCGTCATCAAAACCACAAGAAGCGAAATCCCCGACGTCAAGTCGCGTCGCCGATTTCTTCTCTTTCTCTCAGGGCTTACAAAAAAATACGGTAACCTACAAATATAAATTTAGAATACTTTCCTCGCGACTCCAAAGCAGCATTATGTACCATTTACAGCGGAAAGCCCGGGGAGCGGTCACTTTTCCATTTTTTTCTTAAAAATCCAATATCACAAACATACAGGCGGCAAAATTTAAGAGACACTCTTGACATCACTAGCGCGAATTAACCAATAAATGCGGGCCCCATGGGTGGCGGAGTGGACGGCGGAATCCTATTTTCCACCTTGATCACTTCATTTCTGAAAGCGTGATGCGATGCGAAGTGAGATTTCAGGGACTGGTTGGTAGAAAAGCCGCGATCGCATATGTAGCAAAAGTAGGGTCGTTCCCCCGAGTGGACCCTGGAGTGTACCTTGACATTGTAGCTTTTGTGGTACTTGAAACCGCACAAACCACAAAAGTACATCCGAATTAAGGTGCCGACCAGGTAACCTCGCCACACTTGAAAGGCATTTCCCATTCGCTCTATCGGATGCTTCATAAATACAAAAGAATAAGAAATATTTTGAAGAGCATCGTTCCTGAAGAGTCATGCCTCAAAAAAGTAAAAACGGACGAGACAACTTAAAACAGCGAAGAGGAGAGAGCGAGCGATAGCGAATTCCTCTGAACAAAAGTGATACACTTTACGTTAATCTGAATAGCATAGAAAAAGCTTCTTTCCCGTTACTGAATATTTTCGGCTGCAGCATAATGCAATAGAAACAGCTCAAGTCACGCGCACCAGTCAATCGCATGGCTTGACATATCAAGACGGACGTAACCACAGTAGCAGCGGCAATTGCAGGTATTTCTCAAAAAAGCTCACACCACAATTTTGTCCGCCGCTATGAATACAAAATGTTAGGCATTTTGAAACAGGGGGAAGATTCGAACGCCGCGGAGGGGGTTTCGCAAACCGAATTTGAATGGAAGTAGTAAGATTTTGCCCACTTCTGGGAACGCAGCATAAAAATCATACTTTGGCGTTACAACGTCGCAGGGCCAATGTTACCACGTTAATATAGATTGAGGTGGGTCGGGCATTCCTGGGAAACGCGATGATGGAAACATGATCATTCATGGAAACCGAAATCTGGGAGCAAACTCAATTACTTTACTGTGCAGTACTGCACTTCTCTCCTCGTCTGAGAACTTCGAAAAAAAGTGTGAACGCTTTCTGGATTGCCGATGTCAAAAAGTAGGTCGATTACGTCATCAACGAACTCATATAAGATTAATCACATAGAGCCCACGCGCGCATTTCGTAAAAATCACGTCATGCTCTTTTTACAATCTCATAAAAAATCTAACAGGGACCTCAATGAATATATTGTATCACCTCATGACTAGATATTCGACTGAAGTCCATTGTGAACGTCAACTGTGCTCAAAATCGAAGATGAAGGTCGAATTCTGTCGGAGTACCTAACCGAGAACTTCGGTTGTTCGCGCTTCTGATGTCAGAAAACTGCTCGGGCCCGAAGCACGAGAACTACGATTTTTGAATTGTCCACATACTGCACATATATTTTTTCAAGTCAGAGAAAGCATCTCGACACGTCTTAAGATTCAAGTGATCACACCAAACGCGCTCAACATCAGAAGGAAGACAATTTTTCCTCCTCCATCGATGCAATCGATTCTACACTTGCTTATCATAGAAGTCCGGAGACGAATTCTAACCGAAGCACGTCACAGCTGCCAAGGGGGTAGCCGGAACATCAGGCAGGGATCTAACGCATTAAAAAGTCACCTCCAGTAGGATTTCCGGATTATCCAAAAGAGACGATATCGCTCATAGAAGCATGCATGAACTCAAAGCCCACACCGAACGAAGTAATTTTTCCCATAAATATAAGAGTTCAAAAATACTGGAGAGCCCATTTGGCATGGAGCAACCTCTAACAATGTGTCGATGTCCACGATCGACCGACCATCTTCCGCGAGGGCAAACGTGTTTGAAGGGGCTTTCACGACGCATTATCTTACGGCTTAATGTCGAAGTTACAAAAATCTGGGGTCACCATGAACACGAATTCGCTTCCGCTCCCTCTCCAGGTTCACAAAATGTACGCGAGCAACGCATGATGAACTAGCATACTGCACGAAGGTAAAACAAAACGAACCAACAGGAAACATGTTATTCGATCTCCAAACAGATGCTAATTGAAATCAATGAGTTACCCGCGTACGCAAGTCAGCGAATAGCACTCAAGACAATCCGCTAACAAATATACAATCGCATCGAAGCACGTGACACCGGCGTTCGGGATCATTTAGAAAGATTGTCTTGACTGCCACGTCGCCAACCGTTTTGAAGTAGGATCAGATTCAGGAGAAAGAAAAAACGAAGATCACTCACGTCTTTCGATATTTCGGGAGGAATATTCTGAGGTTGCTCGTCGCCGACACCTGATGCAACAAAGCCTTCGTCGTAGTGGCCCTGCTCGCTATGGTCCTCATAATACTCCTCGTCGTAAGCTCCTTCGCCAACCCACTAATAAACGGAAGTTTTTTTCAGATAATAAAACAGAATAGCCACATCTTACACACCTCTTCGTGATTAGAAAATCCGTATGAATCCTTCATGTCGTCCTCCTCTTTCTTAATAATACCTTCCGGCTTTCCACCGAGGACACCTTCTATGAGATGGCCATCGCCCATTTCGGAGGGACCCGCCTTAAGGCTTCCAACTTTACTTATTGACACCTCCTCAGGTTCAACCTGAAAAGAGAAAGTCAACGTAGTTAGTCTCAATCTGTGAAATATTAGTTCCCAGCATTCGGTTTGCGACCGCTACTTATCGTGCTTCTGTTGGTTACTCGTACGTTCTACCCGAATGACGATGCAAGTCCTTTGAATGAACATTATAGCTACGCGGAGGTGCTACATAGTGTTAACTTCTGGGTCCACTCGTTACTGAGGAGGGGGAGGAGTCCTTGATGGAAGATTGCAAAGGACCCGATGAAACGTTAGGGAGTGGCTTCTTAACAATCGTTCTAATGCGCTTGGCAGTCACATCATCGACCCCAATGGTAGCACCCTCGGACTGAACTGGCTGTGGATGAGGTCTTTTTCTGGTTTCTTGTCCATCACTAGCTTCGCTTTCCGTAGTCGTCTCGTGCAACCCGCGGATTTCTAGTCGCTCAGCGGCCGTCATAAATTTCTCCAAAGCATCCGTGGCCACAAATGTTTCACCCTCATATATGAAGTTGAGGAGAGGGCTGAGAATTTCTGGTCCAACATCGGTCAATACGAGAACGTTGGTCTTGTAGCTGGGTAAGCCAGCCAAGAGGCGCTCGAAAAACGAGCTAGATGCCGCAAGCAAGACTTTGTGCGCATGGAAGTTTTTTCCTCCGCAGTGCAAAATGACGTCTGAAAACGCATCTTTTATCCGAAGCTTTCGAACGATTGAAAAAACTTCGCTTAGATGGTTCTTCCACTTCAAATCGTAACCTTCACGACCCATCTTTACACTTCAGTAAATCCATCCAACAACCACCTGTCAAGGGATAACCATATCACAATTCAAACGAACAGACCCAACAGAACGGAATTTTACACAATTCCGATATGTCTTAAACAGTCCAATCACAACACTATCATCGACTCTCGAACACCGCACCCCGCCGGATACGCAGTTTGTCGGTAATGGGATTCTGGAGGAGGAAGCCATTTCCTGGCGAGCTGAACATTCGAGTACGCTTACGGATTACTTACGAACAGCCATGATACCTGGATCACACCGACGTCGCACTCTCAGTAATTAGTGCGATTCCATGTTCAGATAACCCACATAAGCTACAGAAGAATAAGAGAAGGATTTCTGCCTAGAAAGATTTGTACCTCGAACTACTGTACAGAAATTCCATTTAAGGCTTTGTGCTATTCCATATACGTACAGCATTTCGAAATTCTTATAATAATTACAACCATCAAATATCAACACAAAATAATTTATTCATCACTACTACAAAAACAAATCTTCCAGATACGCTTGGAATTCATCATCTCTGGATAATCCTTCCTCTTCTGAAGCCGGAGCAGGTGCTGACCATATTGCAGAAATATCTTCTGACGCACGATTCGTACTTCCTTCGGTCTTTTCCACAATAGGTTTCTCGTCAACTTCGGACGGACGCGTCCTTGGTTCACTTGTGCTGGCCTCGGCAACTTCATCTGTGGCAGCTGGTTTCCGTTCTTCCTTCAATCTTTTATTTCTGGACTTCGTCACCTCTCGTTTCCCATGTCCATAATTTAATTTCTTGCTGCACGCCGCACAAAGCCGGAGTTTAACTAGCTCTGTCCGCTTCTCGCCTTGCTCTTGATACCTGAATGGTACTTCCCAAGTCCGTAAACCGGCAGATTCATGACACTTCCTGCTACCACAAATAAATTGGCCTTTCCCTGTCTGTACTTCTTTTTCTGTTTGCCAACGCATGGCAACATTACCTAGAATAGAATAAAAATATTGTCAAGGTACAGCATTTCAATGAAGAAACGGAAGTGCAAACGAGGCAGGCAGTGGTTTTCAACATTTTCATCGATTGTACCGCTCTTAATACGCAGTGATACCGTATTTGCGTATCGTCGTGGCTCAGTCAATTTTCAAAAGGTAGGATTATTTCCGACAAGATAATGTTGCGGGCATTCGTGCAACGCGTGAGAAAGCTCTGATGCAAAGAGAAGCTATGCAGAACATCGCGTAATTTCCTGAAAGAAATTACAGAAAAAGTTTCACAGAATGACACGGTATCAGTATCACAATGAATAATGAAACTTAAGAATACTAATGCTACGAATAATCCTAACAAGAAATTTCCATGATATTTATGCAGGCGTTCCGAAAGATTTCTCACTTGCCTGCAATGAATCACTTAATTTTTTTTATCATTTGTAGTCGCGGTTTTTTTTTCATTTTCGTTTCGATTGTTCTCCCAGGGCATTTCCTCCGGTTACTGAAATACCATTGCAGTCAAAAATTTGAATAATGTATACCGAAGTACCCTATCAAATGGCACTCAAATTTTTTATGACGTCGAAAAATGTACACATCATTAAAATGGCCACCAACGACGCAGACTCGGTGGCTGTGACATTCTTTTCTCATATTTAATCGTATTCTAAATTGTATTCAGCTTCGCTAAACAGCACCGACACAGATAAAATCGTTGCAGAGAGTCCACTTGAATTCAATTTGAGTCACGCGTTAGGCTTCGAATTGTCAACTTCATTTTACTGCAACATACAGTTTGGTTCGAGGGTGACGCGACTTTCATCAGACTCCCGAAAGCTCAAAAACCGGGTGTTGAACGAAGTACTGTACAAAACAAGAATATTTTACCAGAAATCGGAACTTTCCAGGAGTTGAACAGGGACGATTTCAGGTGGTGAAGAGATTCGCAGAGGTGAAGCAACGTTTTCGGCGTGGTGAGTTCAAAAATAGATTCGACTTTGAAGAGGAATGGATTGAAAATGTGATAGGAGGGTATTAAAAAAGAATTTTATCGATTATCGTCGATCTAATATTCGTTGGAAACAGGGAGATACAGTAGACATAAGCCAACACAGCGTTCTTGGATCTGGATTTGAATCCGAGTAAATTGTATCGTACTTTGTAACGCGGAGGTAGTACGCAAACATTGCCATCTCGTTTCAGGCGGTACAATAAAGAAAACGTCAAGTCCTGCCATAAAATCTCGAGAAAAAATTACCTGTTTTATACTGAGATAAATCACAGATGGCATACTCCCGGAACAACATATCGTAATATCTTTTCGCCAGACGACCTTCCCACGATATTTCAGAGTCGCTGGCTTTCCAAACAAACCGATGATGCTCCACAAGGGCATCGAACGGCGTTCGATCGTTCGACGTGTCCCTCTCAAAAATCTTGGTGTCGCCTTAAAAAATATACTGTATGATCTAATTTGTGACAGTTTTTTGATGAAAGCTAACTCACCCGGCTTCGTTAGGAGATATGTGTTGACGAGGAGCTTGTGCCGTTCATACGGTGCCATCGCAAGGAGCAGCAATTTTTCTCGACGCTCGTCTGATATGCTCGCATCCTGACATCAACAAGACATTTTTAACCAGCAGGAGAAGACAAATAAACAACTCACGTTGCGCTTCACTTGCTTCTTGGTAGAATCCAAGGATTCCTCGCGGTGCCGCTTCGTCGCACTCATCAGTAACGTTCCAAGTATTTACATTAGCTCTGCAACCCAGTCTCAAGAATCCAGCGTTTGATTGCAATGTCATAATACCACACAAGACGCTTCTTATAAGTCCTTCGAATGACCTACAAATCGCCATTGAAGTCGGGAAAAACACAGCTACCCTTTACCACAAATTATCCTTGGTTTATTGAAAAAATTCCCCGACATTCCATTCAAAAAATTAAATTTAAAATTAGTTTCGTGAGTCGGGAAACTTTACTGAAGAAAAGCAGTTAACCTTGTCTTCAAAATTTACTCGATGCTGTCGCACAAGGAATCCCTAAAAATTAAAAGAAATATTCCGTGACAAAGCTAATCATATACTTTGAATAATTATCATAATCCGTAATTTCCCAAGACAACGTCAAGGGTATCTAATACCCAATAAATGACAACTGTTGATTGAAATGGGTTTCCAGTGACTTTAGCTCTTGCTGAAGATGGTGCAGAACCCATGGAGAATTTGCAGGAGTCTCCCGGGAAAAAATCCAGCTCAAACGTGTATTAAAAACCAAAGATGGCAACTTGTTCCAGAGACTCCGCATGGGTAACAACAATCAGAGGACCCACAAATAAATTCTGATTCTATTCCAACTCAATCTACTTGTACTAGAACTCATTTCTTTTAGCAAACTACGAGTTGGTAAAAATCGACAAAGTTTCATCCCATGCAATAATCATTTGCAGATGATTCGGAGGACTTCAGAAAAAACAACTCTTCTCAGAAACTTCACAAACCATCATAAATTAGTTTCAGCCATCAAATTTATATTTGTATCAGCATTGAAATCAATACCCCCAAGTGATCACTCCGTGACAGAACCCCACGCATTATGAACGCCTCAAAAATCACAGTGCGGTGCATCGAAACATTGGTCCACGTTAACAGGTACCGGTATACAAGAACACAAGTTTCCATTTTTCACTGGGCGTGATTTCAACGGTTGTGTCAATCACACAAAAAGTGGCTCATGGCATTCTCAGTTGAAATATAGCGCGATTTTTGCAGCTTATCACGTACTATTGCCACAATGTGAATTACGCAAGATGTGGTGGTTGTGCGCGAACATTTTTCTGATACCACTTCTCACAATCCAGACTTGCCAGTGACTCATACGTACGGTCACCGTGTTTTTCCAAAAATATGACTGCCAAAAATTAGAAATATCCCAATTCCTAGGATAGATCGCATCCTCAAGATAAAATCAGGTCAAATTCCCTGAGATTCATTTCACTCGATAATACTGTTATGAACAACGACCAAAATTAGCTCGTCGAAACTTAAAACCTTACACAATTTTGCGAACATTTAAATACATCATTATAATACATTTATTCATATGATTACAATAAATTCCTGCGCAGAGAGCACACACAAAGTTTGGTTCGATTCTCAAATTGTGAAATTGCAAAAACTGAACTTCATCACGTGCCGAATCCGAGTTTAAGTGATAAGTCGGAGTCGGACCCAGGTTCTCAGCATCCCAACAGCTATTTTGCTGATAGAAAACTGAGATCGAAATTTGATGGTCATCCTGTTGGTTATCAAATGTGGTCTTTTTCCCGCCAAAAATGAATGCAAGCTCTGTCCGATTTTTGGGAAAACACGGCGTCAAAGAACACGCATCAAAGAAGGCTATGCACGTACAACTTTGCGTTATAACCGTAAAGCGTTGAAATTCGGAACAAAATCTCGCACTCGCTAAATTCAAAACGCTCTAAATAAGAAAACGCAGGTTGACAAAGTGTCTCTAGTAACTACCTGTTTAAAAAATTGCACCAACACCGAGTTTCACAAATTCCCTCATTTATCCTCATGGAATTCCTCCAATGGTCGGTTTTTGCGGAAAATGTTTCCTTTGCTCAATGAAATCCGCCTCCAATTAGAGGAAACACCGCTGGCTTTTGAGCTATCCGCTGAAGTTGAGTGAGTTTCATTTTGCACCGAAGTCTCCACGTCTTCGCGGGACTGAATAACAGATTTCTGGTTTGAGGCTTCTGTGTTTGAAACCTCGAGGTCTTGCTCGAGAGCCAAATTTTCCCGGGATTCAGATTTTTTCCTGAAGCTCAACATGGAAGAGATTCGACGCTTCATCGATTTCTTCGGCGATGTTTCCACACTTTCCTTGTTACTTTCGGGTTGGAATGAGTCGCTTTCAGTTTCTTCGGATGCACGATGGATACTCGTAGATGAAGCATTCAACGCATCTTCATTGGACGCAGGCATTTGATTTGGATCTTCGGGAGAACTGGCGAATAAACCCGAGACTTTCCGTTGGAATTTTCTGAATGAACCAAGACGCTGAACCTGCTGATCTTGGCATTCTACGACGGACACGTTCACACTTTTGGACTCTTCTAGGGTTAAATCTTTCGATTTTGATTTCCGAAACCATTTCTCAAGAACAGAGCGTCGTTTATCAATCTGCAACGAATTTTCAGGTTCCCTCTCAGTCTCTTCTTTGTTCCAGGCTGGCGAATGTAAAACATTTTCAGTAGCAAATGTCTTGGATCGTCTGTTGCGTCGGCGATCATGAGTCTTTGGCACAGCTACCAGCGACGCTTTCGTCCTGCTTTCATCATTTTCGTCAGCAATTTCAACGCTTTGACTTTTGGAAAAGTTTTCAGGCTCTTCCTCAATCACATCTATGTTGCCATCCCGGGTTCGAAACGCGGATTTCGAAAAGAAATTTCGTTTGTGACGATGAGGCTTGAGCTTCAATTCATTGACAACACCCACGCATTCGATGACTTCTGGAGGATTGGGCTTCTTTTTGGACTTGATTTTCCCTTCTTTCTCGAGAATTTTTTTGTAGTGGGCAACCATATGGGGAACTTCTGCGGTGCTGCGTGGCTTCACTGAATTTTCAGGTGCTTCGTGCCCGTCCTCGCCGCTGACAGAAGTTCGGGAATGTTTTCGATGAATGACACGAATCCACTTGGAAATTCCACCGGGCTCAGTATCCTCATCCTCTTCACGATAAGCTGGCAATCCGAAACAATCTCGCCAGTCACATGCCTGAGGATCAATATCAATGAAAAGAAAACAGCTGTAATACTACCCGACACGGGCAAAGGAAAAAGTTGATAACAATTAAAAAAAAAGTGGTGCGAAATTTTCTGCAGATAAAGCGCAAGCGAGCCACAGCGACGTTGTAAACATATCGATTGGAAACGCTTTTTTTCTCCGAATCGCCAAGAAAACAAAGTTCTCCGCAAACGAATACACGGTAAATATCAGAGAAAAAGACTAGTTTTTCGTGCAACACCACACCCAATCAAATAAGGTGTGTCAGACAGTGTACAGTACTCCTGACTTTACATGGACTGAAAGATAAATTAACTGAACTACAGCAACCATCTCCAGCTTCAACAAATACCCCAAACCTCGCATAAAATTGGAATTCTAATAAAGCTTGCCTCGATATACGCCAGAAACTTTTTTGACCGGGCGGATGAAAAAGTGCACCGCAAATAAAATGGTAGCCTAACCTCAACTAAAATAAATTTAAAAAAAGCAGAATGCGGTTTACTTCAATTTTATTTTGAATGAAACCATCTTCGCATGCAATACGACATCCATATCAAAATATTCATTCGAGTACCACGCGCACCTCATTTCTCAAATTCGAGAGGAAATAAGCGTGTTGCATGTCATGAGCGGGGATGATACTTTTAAAAATGTGAGAAGTTTAGGCGCGCGTCACACTTGAATGTAATGGGATATTTTGGATAGGAAATTTGTAAGATCAAAACAATTGAACTCAGGTGGAATTCATGTTCAAATTTGCATTATGGTGCCTCATATTTTTGAAATGTATTTTTCATTCAATAAAAATTGAGTGCGCGTATTGCTTGGGGAAATAATTTCATGCAAATTTTCGGGTGGAAAATTGGAGTGCATGTCTTACTTGAGAGCACGCGGTATTCAAGAAAATATGGTACTTCAAAAACACTACATTTCTTGTACCCGAGAACAATTTTTTTAGGATAAATGGATATCAGCCGTTGAATACACATTTCCATGATCTCTGAACACGCTTCGAAATAATCCTCAGCTATGAGAACTTTTACACTAAATTAACGAGATAAGTGTATCTACCGACTACCAATTCAAAGAATACACATTTCTGCAGCCCCCATTGACCGATATTTTTCATGCAAATATAAGAAAAGCGTCGATAGTATCTTTCATATCGTACAGAATTTCTCCACGGTCTTCTGAAAAAAACACATGATCACTTCCAATTTGTTTTTCGATCCTGTCGCTGCGGAGACGACAAAAGAACGATTTTTTCGGGCAGAGTTAAGTTTTAATTCAAAAGAGGTAAAAGTGAAGAATTCACACCGTGCGTGGAATACATGAATTTAAATACAGTATTAAAAAAAATCTGATTCTTAAATGAACTGAAAAACTGACACGACACGAAAAAAATGTGAGCCACTTCGTGTAAACACCAAGAAAACCGTCCCGGTACGGAACGAAAAAGAACCAGTCTCACAGAAGAAAATAACCCGGGCCCGCGGCACCGACAGAAAAGCGCACACTGCGCTCCGCACTCCCGAACATGATCCGCACACGGGTTAAAGCTCGTCTTCCCTCTGCTCACCACATGCCTCAGAACCAACACTAACATCCAAGCATCGGAGAAAAATAAAATCAAATATTTCACCCGTCACCAAACGGGATAAAACCAATGCAAGAAATGTAAAAAAAAAACAGTACCTACAAAAATACTACATATAAAACTGCGCTACGCCAAAAATTTGAAAAACGAATACATGTACTTATAGCTCGCAAAATTAGAGGGCAACTATTCTCTCAAGCCTTCTCAGCAGAAATTCAGCATGACATACTCGAAAGCACAGATCGAATTACTGTAAAAATGGCACATAAAATCACGGAAAAAATTGAAACGATTTTGAAAAGAATACAATGGGATTTTTAAAGCTGCAGTACTCCTGAATCATTCCAATTTTAAGATTTTAAGATTTTCGCATTTTTACGAACAAAATCAAATACCTTTATAGAAAAAATTGCGAACTGCTTCTTTACGAGGGTTGCAAGGTTTTGTGCGAAAGCTGCCCAAATTAAGAACCTATAATGATTTGCAACCAATAAGCCAAGCGACAATGTCCCATCGGTTTGAGTACCGCAATATTTCAAAATTTTAAAAAATGTTGACTTTTTGAGATGATAGCGAATAGGGAAAAGAAGATACCGGTGGGGGGAGAGTTCACGTTTCCTATCTCGCATAACTCTACCGTTTTGGCCTGATTTCTTAGTTTGGTTCATCTTTTTTGAAAAAGTATACTTTCAATGCGTTGAAACTATTCAGCATTAATTATACCTTCTCTTTTTTCGAAGTACCTCGGAGAATAATTCACATTTTCAGTCGGAGTGTTCCTGATATTCTGAAGCTCAAAAAATCACACGGCATATAGAATAGCAACAAGCGAACGTTCGATGATGTTAAAATAGCAAAAGCCAACCAATTATCAACGATTTTACTCACGAAGTAACACGAGTCCGACGAAGCTCAAAGATCCCAGCAGAAAAATCACCGGCAGGGATAAACTCATCACAAACGCCGACCTTGGAACATGGAAACTTGCTCAAAATAAAGAATGACCTAGAAAAAAATAAATATTCGACAAGATCTGGAACAGTTCAACAAGCGAAAAATTATGAAGCAGAGTCATGCCATGGAATATAACTCGCCAAAACTTCAGACAAAGTGAACTTTGTGAACTTATATTCTCTAACAAAATTTACCCACTGAAACAGGAGCATTGAACAAGTTCAAGAAGCCGAACCTCTGCAAATAGAAGGGAAAGGATTCCGAATCTTCACGAAGGTTTCGTACCTCACTTCAATTCACATTCGAAGAAACCAAATTTTCAGAAAAAGATCACATAAAATTGAATCCATCCTGAAGATTTGAGAATCCTTCGCAGTCACCAAAAGTCGCCTTTCATGAAAAAATGGCGGCAACGTTTCTCAATCCATTTTTTAGCCAGCGTGATCATTGCAGTCGTATTTATCCGTGCTTGAGAAATGCTATTGCACGGATTGACACTCAACAGCATCCCGTTTAGTGGCAGACACAAGCATTAAAAAAATCTTGCCGCGTTCGAGCCTCAAGAATTTGATTCATTAGGAAGGATAATCGAAACTGACGATGTTGTACGATGATAAGGAACGGACACTCGCAAAGCTGCATGAAAAAAAGGACAAAAACATCCCACCAAGACCCGACGTTTAATGGTAATGAATACAGAACGCCGACGCTTCACAAATCCCCGCGGAAATCGAAATTCACGTATGCTTTGAAGAATTTATCTTTACGAACATCACATTTCCTTGCGAGGAAAGCAATCCACAGTCAGTTCCTCGCAAATAAATAAAATGCATAGACACACTGCAAAATCACCTCTAAACTCGAACGACAGCGCGTCATCATTGGCGGAAAAATCAACACGGTCCTAATAAAACGGATGCAAGAAAGGACATGCAGGGTTTCGACATCCCAGTCCGTAGTAACACGGCTTCTTTGCCCGCGATTTCACATGCGAGAACACACAAGCCGCATTCATGCAAGCATCCCCGAACTTGCAAGGCGGATGTCCAAAGCGACACGAGTCCCCAAATGGGCAATTCGGGAAATTGACACACATCGGAACAGCGGGAGCAGCAACCATAACCGGCGGCTTCGGTGCCACGACCGCCGGAATCGGTGGATGAAAGAACACGCAGGAGGTGCCCAATTTGCACTTGGGCCAAAATTTGCAGCGCGTCGTCGCTGCAGTGGCGTTGAAGGCCGCGATAACTGACGAAGTTGGCGAAGGATCAACGACAGGAGCGGGAATCGGAGATTTTTTCACGTCCTGAAAGCGTTGGGCTCGCAATAATTTCTTGTCTTCTAGTGCTTTGGGTGCGGAGACTACGGGCTCTACTGCTAAACTAGGCTTCAATTTGGGTTCAACGGCGGCTTTTTCTACTTCGGCGGGGCTTTCAGAAGTTTTGGGGCGGTTAAGGTGACCTATTCTGCTTTTGATATCGCTTCTAGACTTCTTTTTCTTCACGCCCTCAAGAGTCACGATGAACTTGGGTTCTTCAGCAGCGCGGTCCTCAATCTCCGCTTCCTCGTCATCGTCCAACTGGATCTTCAGATCTTCTCCCTCCTCTTCGCTTTGCAAGTGCTCAGTGTCACTACATTCGTCGTCACGTTTTCGAGGTTTACTCTTTGCTTTGTTATCGGGCGATTTTTGCGCTTCGTGTACGGCTTTCATGAGCAAACGCCCGCTTGGTGCATTTCTGGATGATGATTTCGGCCTCTCTTTCACCTTCACGATGCTGGAGAGCTTTACGTCTTCTTCGTCACTCGAGATATTTTTCACAACAACGCAACTGCTCAGCTTTCCCTTTTCCGGTCGTTCTTTCTTTCCCCGGGCTCGCGATCGTTTGGGAGAACGCTCAGCGGAAGGAGACTTATGTTTACGTTTTTTGTTGTTGCCTGGTTTCGAAACTTTCACTAGCGATGTGATTTTCTCAACAGTTTCATAGAGCCAGCTAGTAAAAGAACCGGCTTCATTTCCGAGAAAAAGTTTGAGATCTTTCGTCATCCGTTCGCGGGATTTCCGATTGGACACAAGGACGATCACATAGTCAGGTAGTTCGTCATCGACATACTTGTCGAGCTCCGTGAGCTTAGCCCGCACGGCTTCTTTCAATTTCTGAAGGATTTCGGGGGTTAATCCAGAATCCATGATCCGTTTCACACGTACATTCGCGAAATATTAAACAATTAGACGCCACCAGCTGCGCCACCAGCTGCGTAAATCGCAGCTCCTATAGTTAGAAAAACATAAAATTTTGTTTTAGTAACTGAGCGACGGAATAACGTAAATACTAACGTTAAGCTAGTTTCCAGCCGTAAGGAAAGCAATTTAATTGATCTGCTATATAAATTTGAAAATTTCACAATTAAAATATTGTCCACGTTACTAAACGCATTTTTGATTGAACTTAATACAAAAATTCGCTTTCCAAGAGAGGAAACGGCAAGAAAGTAACTCAAAACAACGAACGATACTGAAGCCGATGTTTCAATCCCCGCTTTAATTCTCCCGCAAAATACATCCCAAATCACGTTTAGCACAGAGTGGAAAGAAGGAATGGAAAGAAACGCAGAAACCCCAAAAATAAATACCAATACTGTATCGCCCAATATACTTATGAGTTATGAGTAGCACTTGATTGCGCAGATTCCCATTGACATCAGACAGGCTTCACTTCGCAAGTTCTTCGAAATAGGCAGCCATAAGTTTTGTCTGAAAGGACAACATGTCAACAGACAAAAAGTAAAAATATGTTCACAAAATTGTAGCTTACTCCTTCGATGTAATTACGAATGTCGATCTTCTCGTTTTGAGAATGTGCTCCATCGTCCGCAGCACCCATAGGAAGAAGAAGAACGCTTTTTCCAGAAACATCTTGTAAAGTCAGGGTGACAGGAATCGATCCCCCTTCACGGATGAAGTCTGGTTTTTGCTTGTAAACTTTTTCGGTGGCACGAACGCCGGCTTGAAAATTAGCGTCTCTAGGGTTCGACAGCCAATGGATACCACCATGTGACAGATACGCCTGATGTTGGAAAAAGAGTCATCGATTGAGTTGATGATACGTTCACTCAGAAGGTGAACGTAAATTTACAGAAGGCGGTCAAACATTGAAAATATTGTAGATCTAAAGATCAGCTTTAAAATTGTCGGTGCTCTTGTTGAAAATTTTGTTAGGATATCCCAAGGAACGGCACTTATTTTTACCTAAATACAGTACATTGAATGGTTAGTTCACGAGATCGATTAGAAGAGAAGATAAAAATTAGGGTTCTCCGGTGTAAGGTTAGGTTAGTTTGGTGAGTGGTTTAAATCCAAGACAGCTAAGTCTTCGAATGTTTAGTTAAATTGGTTAAGTTCCGTATTGGGTAAGGTTCTTAAGGTATCAGATTTAACAAATTCCGCATTGGGAAAAGTTAGTGAGCTTTCGAACCCGAAAATTCGTGAAAATCGTGATAAAATGTTAAAGGTTTCGTATACGTTTTGGTGAGTTAGATTGACACCATGCCTGTGGCAGCTCTAAAAAAATTTAAAAACATTACACGGGAAGTATCAGCAAGGAAGCATCAAATAATTTTCAGTTTATTAGACTGAACTTCCTATTCGAAGGAATCGGAAAAAGTGTCTCTAGAACGCAAGAAGGAGATATTAAGCACCAGTTTCATGGAGTAGGTCTTGCTTTTTGACGCTTCAAAATTCAAGGTTAACAAAAATTCGGATATAGCGAACCTTCATCTGATTGGGACTTCCGCGCTTCGCCCAAACGTCGTTCAAATATTTGACAACGCAACGCTCGACTCCTTCCACAGTGTGATTAGGTACGATCCTGATGGAAAATTTTCCAATGATCTTACGGGGAATCACAGTTTTTTCTCCACTTTCACTAAACGCTCCTTCGATTCCATGAATTGACAAGGATGGATTCCGCCAGCGGTGCATCAGGATTTCACCCTGCAATTGGATGAGTTTTCTTCGAATCCCAGTTAGCTAAAACGTCAAGCTAAAAACCTTGTCCTCCTTATGACGTAGACGCTTCCCTCCAATGTCTGATCTGAATTCGGCTACATCGAACTCGATGTCTTTGTAAAGTTCTCGCTCTTCGTCCGTCAAAGGTGCTACATCATCGTAAATGCCTGTGATCAGCAATTTTCCTTCGACATCCACCAAGCTATTCATCATGTAAATCAAATCTGACATCCCTTCGTACCTGAAAAAAAACAGATAACTCAATGGTACTTCGTAAAAATAACACATTTTTAAATGGTGGCATCCGACGAAAATCAGCTTGATTCAACAACAAAGAAAAGGAAAAAAAATTCCCCGCAAATATTCGTCTAAAATTATTATTCTTTCAACGTTCACCATGAGGATAAACTTTGAACTACCGTGAAACTTTCCGCGGCATGAACATGGTTATAGTAAGCAACGGGTGAACATAAAAACGTTCCATCAGAAGTTCCAATTTGACTCGTTCGAAGTTACTCTGATTTTTCGAAAATTCGACTACAGGATTTTTACGTGCTTCGTTGCTTACATTCAATACTTACATAGAGCCTCCGTAAACCCCGGAATGAAGATCCTTACGAGCGCACTCGATCTCGATATAGAAATAGCATACTCCTCGTAGTCCGTAAGTCAAACACGGCTTCTTTGTTCCGAGCCAATAGCTATCAGAAATGCAGACGAAATCGACCGGACCAAAAAATTCCTTGCGCTTGAGAAGAAGCTCGTCCAGGCCCACGCTTCCGCTCTCTTCCATACCTTCCAGCACGAACTAAAGGGCAAAGAATTTTCAGGTTCAGCCGTTCAGGACACCTTCCTGGAAGAATTCTGATACGGCTTTTCTTGAACTTCTCTTTTCGAACTTGAAAAGAGAATCCACCAATGAAAATCAACAATAAATAAAAAAGTAATAATTCCTGATCATGAACGATCATCAGTATCGCTATTCACTGTTGAGAGAAATAATGAACATACTGACTTTTGATCTCAAGTCTGAAGGGTTGGAGAATCACCTCAACATTTTCGAATTTTTGGTTCATTTATTTTTTTTTATGATTCACGATTCCAGCTTTACAAGAAAAATCACTAAAAATAAATAGAACTCTTTAAAAGGTTCCACAAACGATCTTCACAAGTTTCCATTTTTACTCGGCTGATATTCTAAATTTCAGAATATCCAGTTTCATGAAGAAAAAAATGCTCATTACATCTGCGCAAATTATATCATTTCAGCGGACACTTCTCATCATACTCTTATTTTCAAGATGGTAGCAAAATTGTATGTGACCTCACTTTTCGAAAATTGGATGTGCTTTTGCCTCGCAGTACATCACTGCTACATATGACGCAAGATACAGTACTGTAGTATGTTACAGTTTTTTTTTTCAAATACAGTGCTTTTAAGCACAAGGAAATATTTTTCTGTACGCTCACCCTCAAATTTAAAGGTAGCTCTTGACCAGTTTCGCGAAACGCCTCAATCGCATGAAACCATCCAAGCACAGGACCTTTGTCATCGGTTGACCCTCGTCCGTAAAGCTTTCCATTGCGTTCGGTAAGCACAAAAGGTTCGGAATCCCATCCATCTTCCTACATAATGATCGATATTGTTGAAACAACTTCAAGTAAATGAAAAAACGAAATTTCGACGAAATCAACAGGAAATTTCGAGCGAGCCTTTGATTAACCTGGTCATAAGGGCGATTATTCGAAGTTTTACCGCGTATAGTATTTCATAAATGCTCACAATTTGGGCGGGTTGCACATCCAAGTGACCATAAATGCACAACGTTTTTTTCTTCGGATCTTCACCCAAAATCCCAAGCAGAACGGGGGGAAGCGGAAGAGTGAGACCACTCGGCAAAGTCTATAAGTTCAAAAATGAAACAATTGAATACCTCAAAATTGAGGAAACGGATTAGCTCTCCAAGCATTCTAAAAATCGGCCGGTTGCTCGAAAATAAATATACACTGACACAAATTTGTGACAAAAATAAAATTGTTCTTACCTGGTTTCCAAGGTCAATAATTTCCACTTTGGCTCCAAAACTTTCCAACTCTCGACCGGCCCATTCCACCATTTCTTTTACTTTCGGGCGACATTCCGGAGACGCAGAAACTGACGGAATCGCCACTGCTTTGCTCAAGTTATCGATGAACTTCTTTTCATGTTCATCAATATAACTAACAGAAATCAAAACTGAAGTTAAACGGAGCTTCTAGTCCCAGAAAAAAGCAACCCTACGAACTTACGAGAAGATTTTCGCTAAATCCGCCATTCGGTAACGTGCGAATAACACTTGGCAAAAGACAAGTACAGTATCTGCTTCGAAATGAACATCCGATGAATGAAGGTTTCAGTGAAGCATCAAGTCGGATCTCGAATACCAAAGAATGGATAATCATTTGTATTTTTTGACATTTTCGCGTGCAAAATCATAGGATCAATTTGACGAAAGCTGATTTTAATCCACCCGGTATTGGAAATGGTATCAAGCGGCAATGTGGAAAGAAAACAAAAAGGAAAAAAAAAAACCTTCGTCAAGTTACGTCAGACAACGTAAAACTTCCCATTTTGCTAAGCAATTGACACAAGTGCAATAATAATCCCGAACAGTACGAGAACGAATTTGAAGAAGCACAAGCAGACGTGCACTTCAAACATAAACACCGAGTAACACATGAATCCAGGACAACCCCATATCCCAGCACTCATCGCAACAAACGAATGCGAACACGCGAAAACAACAAAATGAGATCCAAATATTTTCGTTTCGGGGCAACTAGGGCAAAATAAAAAAAATTTACTTCGAAAAAAAACTAGAACGAAGTCGATATTTTCGTAAGATGTTTCCCCAACTAATAAGAAAAACTTTTCTCGCGCTCTCGTGCAATTCAGACTACACACGCCTCAATACGGAATTCGTGGTCAAGATAGGAACCCTGAATACAATTATGATTCGTGCCACCGAAGATAATAAATGTGTAAGTTGATAACTGGAAGCCGATTGTTCGACAAATTCTCGTTTGGAGTAATACTGCGAAATCCGCAGATGCTTTGACCTAATCTGCACAAAGTGGTGTTCGGAATCCTCACAATCTCTCGCCTGAAAGCATCGTAAATGTACGATAGTGAACGAGATTCAACAGACTGCACGTGTCTGCGAAAACAAGCTCCAAAATAATAATTCACGAAAACTATCGGCAGAGGAAATTTGATCAACACTTCGAGCATAACTGCAGGAAACAAGTCGTCCTTGAGGCTACATACATTTTACGTATACGCTAATCTCTGCTAAATAAGTCAAAGTTTCACTTTCCAATTTGCGCCAACGATCGACTAACATTCGAACGGCTCTTGACTCGTTTTATCTATCCCAAACGAAGAACCATGCATCACGTTTCGCGGAGTTTGTACTCACTCAAATGATTTTTTGACTGGATCAAGCAACAGAGTTGTTTACGGAGAGCAGATGGACTTTCCCCAATGATAAAATCAACCACGGCAATAATCTCCGCGCAAGTAATTATTTCTTAGCTGCTTGTCCTTTTACTAGATGCATGTGCTGCTCCTTAACAGAGATATTCTCTGATTGATTCATCAATCTCCTACGCATCATTGTAGAGATAGTCCAACTGCAAATATTTCGAAAAAATAAAGGTTCAGAACACAACCCAAACAAAAAGAAACCATGTGAAAAAAAACTCATGGTAAACTAGATACTAGTGACGGATAACACAGCATCATACCCAGACCAAAAAACATCGAATGTTTGCGACTAGACAAATGCTCCAACAATGATCACCAAATTCATCGTCGAGCGCGTTTCGCTGCACCGGAATATTCGAACGGAATCCGAACAAGCCATTGAAAGCCAAGCTAACTCAGGCGCAATTTCAAAGCAACCATCATACGGACGACGATGCAGAATCGACGTCTTCCGGTGAAAGACCATAAACGATAATACAACAAATGCGCCGGAGCGCAGCTCCAAAATCGCACATGGGATAATGGTAGTTAAATCATCCGATTCAAGCGCTTAGTTCTTCCTCTTCCTCCATTTTGCAGATGAACTTCATCACGCGGTTTTCGACATTCGTCTCTCTGGCCCAATCGATTCTTGACAGGAGCTTCTTAATGCCAATCGAAAACCTAAAAAGGTCAGTTTCGTATGAGATTTCCATTTCCTCAAATGCTTCTGTTCATTTACCGAGGCATCACTAGGTCGGTCTCAAAATAATCAAGAACAGTTATATTTACGTTTTATTGTGGGTTCTTCGGGCAATTTCCGCAATCATGGTTCCATCGAAAGCGTCGCTGAATTCTGGTTCCTGAAGAACGGTAACAACGTGTTCAGCTGTCGACAAACAGGATACATGAAGCACAGACGAGAACGCACTCAGCATCTCCATCTGCTCCAAAACGGCTCTGAAATATCAGATTCATTTTTATTAGTTCGGAAGGTGTAATCGGTTATATTAACAAGCAATATAAGGTAGGTACACAGATTAGAGACGAAACTAAAATGCTTCACTGAAGGTCCAATTGACTGAACGTAGGTGTCGCATAAATTTAATGCATTTTCGGATCAAGTTCAGTCAAGTTCAGCCATTATACGAGGGTTCTAACAAAAGTTTTCGGAGTAGCAATGAAAACTGTGTATAATTGAACTGAAAAAAATTTATTCTTCAGGGAAAACATATTCTTTGGCACGCACAAAAAATCAGCCTGGTTTGACAATTTTTTATAATATTTTGCAAAATTCATCCGAATAGAGTTTTGCTCTCCAACTCAAAAGATGAGGCGCCCATTTTTATTGTAACCCAGGTTTCCCCTCAGAATTCTTGAAAAAAAACGTGGCATTCATGCCAAGGATTGCCTCCAGGTCATCTAAGGTATTTCCGCCATTTTCATCAACCGCCGCCTTCACAGCCGCCAAAATGGCGGCCAATGTGGCGGCTGTGAAGGCGGCGGTTGATGAACATGGCGGAATTACCTTGGATAACCTGGAGGCAACCCTTGGCATGAATGCCACGTTTTTTTTTCAAGAATTCTGAGGGGAAACCTGGGTTACAACTCTATTGGGATGCATTTTGCAAAAAAAATTTCAAAAATTGTCAAACCAGGCTGATTTTTGTGTGCGTGCCAAAGAATATGTTCTCCCTGAAGAATAAATTTTTTTCAGTTCAATTGTACACAGTTTTCATTGCTACTACGAGAACTTTTGTTAGAACCCTCGTAAGTCAGGCCCAGTTCGGTTGCATTACAGCAGGCTCAGTTGATATAGAACAGATAGCGTTAGTTTTAATTTTTTTACTATCTATTAAACGTAAGGAATCATGCGAGGTTAGTGATTCAAGCTATACTCTCCTAAAAGCCGGGTCCAGAGTTGAAACTTGAATAATACAACACAATTTTTTCTACTCTGCAAAATTAATCGCAGTACAGGAAGTGATTTGCTCACCTTTGACTTGAAGTACAAATGACGAGAAGTTTGCGACCCTTCGGCGGTTGTTGCTTCAGCAGCACCAAGAGGGCTTGAAGCATGATGTTTGAGTAACGCGGTCCGATAGGGCCGTAGTCCAACAATCTTTCCACGTTATCAACGATAACACAGCTCAGCGGGGATTTGTATGCATCGTCGAACACTTTTCTGATATGCAGGCACTTGGAACTCTCAGAAAATCCAACCATGTCTTCAGGACTGACAACCTTGACGAAAGGTAAGTCAGATTTCATAGCCAAGTGCGCTGCAATGGCGGTTTTCCCAGTATTCGGAGGGCCTTCCAAGAGCAAACTCACCAGTCCACTTCCTGCGACGACAACGACATCCCGCATTTAATAAAGTTTATTGAATGAACCGCATTTAAGTTGTTCAGCTCTAGAAATTTATTCAAGATGCTTGTCTGACCTCCATACAAGGGAACTCACTCAACTGAAAACTAGGGCGCTTAAGAATCTTCAAATAAAGCGGATAAGATCAAATAAGATTTCTTCGGCACATCCTTAGCCTAAAATGCAAGTTTTCCTTTCCGTTTTGCTAACTTCTTACAAACCAGAAGAAAATACGTCAGCGATTTTTAAAATTCCTCGCTTCCCACCTTCATTCTTACTTGAGTTAAGATAGAAAACTTTACTATTCTCGGCGAGATCTCCGAGCTGCTCAGTGGATAAGCAATTGGCTCACATATTCTACACTTACAGGGTAGCTTCAATACCTTTAGATTTCAATGAGCCTTGCTTCAAATGAACGCACCCGAAGTTCGACCCATTAAGAGGAAGTAGAGCAGCTTGCTACTCTTGGCCGCTAAATTGAATACACTTAAACAGATTTTATCGATTTTTCAAACGTTGAATATAATTTATTATTGTGAAACACAGTAAATTAATCATGTACTGTAATGATTAATTATGCAGTTTATTATCCATTTTATCGAAAGCTGCCCGACAATGTTGGAACAGAGACTTAATCCCAAGAAAACTCTGAATAATTCTTTGCGCATGTCTTGAAAGAGTCATCCATGATTTTTGAATATCCGGGGGAAGGAAATTCAGCCAGCATATTCCTGGGCAATCGGATCTTCACCATGGAGCAAACATTTAAAATTAAAGCAACCCAATACAGAGATTGGAGGACATTTTCTTTCACTTTACGAGGAAATCAAACAAGCTTCTTTCCCCAGCACAGAATTCGAAGAATGAAACGCATATCCACCAACCAGTAAAAAAAAGGTATGAAAGGCGAATGGCACACGCAACGAAGCTTCCAAGACAAGAAGAAAAAAAAAACAGCATACCTTTCGGAGATTTGACCATTTGCGTCAGCAAGAATCCATCCTCAAGTATGTGATTCACTATTGGACTCCAGTGAATGATACCACGATCAAGCAGTCTAGTAAGCTTTTCCTCCATAGTTCCAAATGCAGGCTTCACATCGTTCTCCAGGGCATGCATAAAATCGCCGCGGTTAACCATTAGTTTTTCGGCAGCTTCGGGGTCTATTTCGACTTTTGAGCTCGCTTTCACGAGTCGGTTGAGGGCTGTAGATTGAGCCGCTCTCACAAGACCTTCAATTTCTGCGCCAGAAAAGTTTTTAGTCAACGTTGCGAGCTCCGGTAAATCAACGTCGTTCGCAATTTTTTTGTAATCCTTCATTCTTGCGGTGTGAATATTAAGAATCTGCAAGCGGCCGTGTTCGTTGGGTAGACCTATTTCCATCTGCACCTCCAAGCGACCTGCGTAAATAAATGAGTATGAAGCACATAAACCGTCAGGCTGAAATTAATATCTAATTTAATTAGCAAATACATCGAGATTATCGTTTCAGAAAAATTTACCGAACATCGAGAGAATGACAGATTCGCAATTGAAGAAGAACAACAAAAAGAACATCGAATGGCAGTAACAAAATTAATCACCGATCAGGAAAACAATACGACCAACAGGCTTCATTGGAGCCTATTCGTTTACCCAACATAAAATTTGAATTCCTCACGGAAATTCTCGTAAAATCCAATTTCAACATAAGCAGCAGAAGTCTGACAAGGCTTCTAACATGAAAATATTGTTTTCATGATTTCATGATTACAAAGAGCAGATCAAACAAAACGACTTCAGCGATTCTCCCAAGAAAAGTTCACCCGGGAATCCGGTATTCAACGATTGCAGGAATTCCGAAAAAAAAAAATTGCCAGGACATCATTATGCGGATTTTCCGTCTGTTTAAAATTTTCTCTTCATTTTAGATTGCACATGGCAACTGTTAATTTAGACAAAAGCAAAAGAAGCCAATCATTTTTTTCATCAAGAACAGTATTTGGTAATTGACCCAGAAAATCGATACAATGCTGGATAAAGTTCAGTGATCCGCAGACCGCGGTAGTGACCGGATGTCTTCGCCTGCTCAATCGAACCTCACGGCAAATCGATCATTCAAACGTCTTTGCAGAAATTCGAAAAATTTTGGAATTACCAGTCGGACAATTCTATAGACTTTCCCGCAAATTTCAATTTTCATAAGGCAAAATACTTAGTTGATCTGTGGGAAATGAAGCGACTCAACAAGAAATTAAAAAAGAATGCATCTTTCGCGATGAAAATTCATCCACCTTTAATCAGTATATTTATTCATTTTTAATTTGTATTATACTACATAAAAATAAATAGGACCCCCTCAATACTAAACTCACCTGGTCGCAGAAGAGCTTCATCAATCATGTCCCGCCTGTTCGTCATTCCAATAACAAGAATGTTATTCAGCTGATCAACGCCGTCCATTTTCGACAACAGCTGGTTCACCACAGTATCGTGAACACCAGATGCTCCGGCGACACTGCCACGTTGCTTGCAGATGGCATCGATTTCATCAAAGATGATGATGTGAAGTCCCGAATTAGGACCCATTCTGATCTCTTCTTCCTCGGCATCGGCGAATAAGCGGCGGATATTCGCTTCCGATTCACCCACGTACTTATCCAGGATTTGTGGACCATTGACGATTTTCGGCTCTCGAGCATTCAACATTTTTCCGATTTGGCGGGCCATCAACGTTTTGCCGGTTCCGGGAGGACCGTACAGCAGGATTCCGCGCACGTGCTTGCAACCTTGAAAAAATGTCAGCACTCAATCTCTCAAGGAAACAGTAACTAACGAACAAGATATTTTCAATTCAAAATTTTCAATTTGGTGATGAAAGAAATGTAGGGATCGACACGATATCACAATAAAATCACAATCAGGTAACGAGCTCGAAATACAGTACCATAAGACTGAATCGGATAAAAAATGCGTGCTCATCAGATGGGCAGAAATGTTTCGATGAAATGTGTAACGGTCTCCTCATAAAATTTTTCATTACCAAAAAAAGTTAGCGGCAGTTTATCGTCGCAGGCAAAGCTTGCTTTCATAATTTGATGTTAGATTAAAGCGAACTTGGATTAATTCGATCTCTCAGGCTGGGCTGGAAATCAGAAATGTAGGAAGAATACAAGCGAAAGAACTGCGCTGTACCAGAGTTCACCGTGCATTTTTTTTTTTAATGTGGAAGTTGCTATTATTCTTCATGCGGTCCGAAAGAATTTAAAAATGAAGGCTTGCGAAGCTTTCCATTTTTCGAAACTGCAATAACGACAGGATGCAAATGTTGGTACTGTAGTAGCAATTGGAGAGGATTACTGAATTATCCTGGAGAAAAGCAGGCAGATAAATCCGATGTGTCAATCAACTTTGAAAATATACCGCGGTTACGAGGAAAAAATACAAAATTTCCCCCATCGACCACGTGCCTCTTAGAAAATCATTTTTTTAGAAAAAACTTCTGTTACAGCCTCAGAAGATAAATGAATTCACAAGAAGAATCGGACAGCCGAAAAAATGTTTCCCTAATCTTATGGACTGCCCACAAGGACAAGAGGAATTTCACTCGCATTACTTATGTGCAATGTACTGTACTAAAATAATATTCATTAGATTAGAACTAAATTATGAGTTGATTTCGGAAATTAATTCACCGAGTTGTTCCACCACTTCAGGAGGAAAAACGCGAGAAGCGAAAGCTCGACGGAAGATGGCATTGAATTCCCGGTCCAGACCGCCAACACCCATTTTCTCGAAGTTCCATTCCGGGTTGATAATAGCAGGACGTGCTGTTTTCCTGAAAATTCGCGGAAATGCATTTGATTGTTAATTGATTTCCCAACTACAGTATATATTTCACTCACCCTTTCGAGCGACCAGTTAAAATGATAGGGCATCCTTCCGATTTTTCAAAAGTCACAGTCGTGTTTGGAAGAATCACACCATATTCTGCTTGTATTGGCTTCACATCCTTGCTATTCTCCTTCAAAGCGCGAATGTCGGTAACTTTTCGATCAAGGAAAACGGTCATATGTTATTTTCTTCCTCGAGAAACATCTTGCAAAGAAGCTTACCTTGGATTTCTTTACATGTCAGCTGTAAAATACGCTTTCCCTGGAAGCTGAAAACCAGAGGCTGCATCCGAGTCAGTGCCATGTGATGAAACTGCATGCAGAATTCTTTCGCCATCGCATCCGTGTCGTACTGCTCATTGCCCGCGCCTTTTCGTTGCAAATAGTCCACTTCAAGTACGACAGATCCGATGCAGTGCGTACTCGGATCCATTTGGAATGGACGAACTTCGACATCTTGGTTAACCGACAAGTAGGCCCATTTTCGGTGCACCAGTGTGAAGCCAAGTACGCCACGTTTCATCGATCCTTCCTGATACGGGCTGAAGATGAAGCGTTTTCCGTCTTCATTGATTATTTCCAAATGTCTGCAAAGGGAGACATTTGGAACGGGGTATCAATGAACGAAAATTTTTTGATATACTGAACAGTAGTACGATCCCGAAAACCAATTCAGCATGTGTTTCCCCACCAACTGCAGACATTACTTCAAAGTTATGAAATGTACTGTATCTGATTCTGCGGTTGACTTCTGTCAAGTGAAAAAGAGGGTTGTAAATTCACGTGCTTACGGAATTTCAGAATCTACTTCTCAAACTTAACAAGCTTAGAAGCTATAAGTTCCCTATTTACCAAACAAATCAAGAAAATAAATACTTACGGAACACTGTCGCGTGGTATATCGGCTTCATTCACCGCAACGCGATTCGTCAGCGACACTTCGTCCGACGGACATTTTCCAACTTTCATATTCGGCATCCTCGGTTATCACACTAACACTATTATCTATTCGGTGAAATGAAAGCTTTTAATTTACACGAAAAATGCCCTCAAAATAACAACGTAACAAACCAAATAATTCTCCTGAACGCAAAGAATTTCAAAACACGTGCCGAACTCCCATCACAATTTATTCAACGAATTCGAACGCGAGAAGTGCTTACTGCCCACTCCGAAAGAAAGCATCGTTTGAAGTTTTTCTCACATTCTGACATATCCCACACACTGAACACTGCATAGCAAAAAACTGGTTGACGTCACAAAAACGTCAAGCAAGAACGTGAATTTCGAAGGAGCGATCACAGGATTATCTCGTTTTTGTAACTCCTCGACAAATCTTTGTGAGGAAGGACGATTGAATTAAGGACGATGACTTCCCGCGGAACTTGCACATTGCATCCTGTGAATATGAAATTAAATAAAAATGACGGATTCGAGATGACACAGAAATTACACTGCAAAATTACATTTTAAAAATAAAACGATAATAATAAAAGGTAATACAGTAACACAAAATAATAACACCTCTAAGCTAATCTACATTAACAGCCCAAGCTAAAAATAACCGAAAAAGATCGTCTGACGTAAACATAAGCCTATTTAATGCCGAACAAATCTAGCTAATCCCTGCTTTGGCAGCTGCTATTTTGGTACAAGATTTGCTCTTTCGAGACCTACCTGATCATCTGATATGCAGCAGCCCAAAATAGAAGATACTCACCGAGAATCGTGATGGCTGGATTGAGTCGACCGTGCTCACTAAAAAGCGGCAGATTCTCCATTTTCGCGAACGGTTTGTCAGGATTGGGATCGTTCGGCGTCCCTTCGATCCGTGCCCACATTCCGACAGATGAATTCCAACCGACTATAGCATGGCAAATATACGCGTGCTCTCCGATTGCTGCGGACCCAAGAATAATAGCATCCCTGATTCTGGCTCCTGCGCCAATCGTTACTCCCGGTCCAACGCTGACGTTTGGTCCCAACTGGAAAACAATCAACATCCGAAATCAACAGCGTCAGCACTTCTTGCAGATTTATCAAAAAATTTATTTGGCGTTTAAAAAAACGAAAGATGTGTTTTCATGAGTTTTCATATTGTTTTCATGAGGAAGTAATGTGCAAAGGTAAACCCTAATAAAAAGGAATGAGAATTTTGGAACATCTGGTAGTTTCCGCCCCAATCTCGAACATAACTCGAACAAACATTGAAATAAAAAAAAACTACGAATTTCAGGGGACGCATGCACAAATAAACTGTGAAATCACGCTCTCGTAGCAACCTTACTCGGAACAAATCAAGACGATAATAGAATACAGCTTTTTCAAAACAATGAATAATTGAAACATACCCATTTCCATCCAGTAGCTCAAAGGAATTCTCGTACACAGTTAATAAACATCAGTTCAATTTTGAGACATATTTAAATACAGTTGGAATTCAACTCTCAAAATCATCAAAAAGTTTATACCGTACTTTCAAGTCTGACCATGATATGGACAGCGTCAAGATCAAAATTATTATCCCTCATGAATCATTCCATCTTTCATCAGACTTTCTCCGAAATCTACACCTAAAATTGCCTTATTTCGAAGTGCAGAAACGTACCACGGCGGTAGGATCCACGACTGCTTTTGGGTCGATGAAAACGTCATCTATAATCTTTGGACCTCCTGGAATATTTGACGTCAGTCTCTCAGGACTATACTCCCGATACAACCGCAGATAGTGCAAATTTGAATACACAGCTGCAGCAGCTGTCTTCACCTGGGACCACCACCTTGTAGACTTATGCACATGCAATTGTCCAGTTCCAGCCAAAGGACATAGAATATCCTGTTCTATGCTCAAACGTTCCAATTCATCTCCCCATGGTGCACCGGTATTGACGCCGCTCTCCTGCTTCGACTAAGAATTAAGCAAAAAATATGAACGAAAAGTTGAAACGAACGAAAAAAATTCAATTACAATAAAAGAGTTGAAATGGGACCAATAATACGAAAATACCGTACTTCCTGTAAATCATTTACGCTGATATGCTTCTAAATAATAAATCGAATTAATCACGATTTTTCCCTATAGTTCCCGACGACCTAACTTAACAAATCTTGAATGAGCCCAAACCCAATTTGTCTCGAAGATAAATTTTTTCAAATTAACCTCACCGCAAAAACGTGTCCTGATCCATGTACAATACAGAAATGACATTTTCTATACAATGAGTCAATGATAATTTAAACTCTCAATCTAATAATACTGTAATCTTAATTCAACAGATTAATATTTCACTTGAGCAAACAGATCAGAAATAAATATTTTTTATTAATTGGATGCAAAATAAATCAATAGCTTCGACGAGTTATCCCTTTCTCGGAATTATATTTTGAATTTTCGAAAGCAAACCGAAATGCATGACTGCATCACCTCTCCTAAAAATACGTTCGCATTCATTTCTTTCGAAGAAATTTATACTGCAAAAAAATTAAAAAACTCATTTTCGATTTTTTTTTGGATCGCAAGTTTCTCAAGCAACAATGCAAAAATTCGAGACAAGGTGGAAATCAGTGACCTAATTGATCTTCAATGCTCAACACATGAATATTGCTGCCTTTGAATCAAGCTTACGAACAATCACGTACCTGGTAAACTTGCTTCAAATAATCCAAAAGTTGAACTGAGCAACAGTAAACACCACAGTTGATGAGGGACGACACGAACGTGTGGGGTTTCTCAACGTAATGCACAACTGACGAATCCGACGGTGATTTGACGATACAACCGTAATTCGTGGATTGATTCCGCGTTGAGTCAGTACCCATCATAGTCAGAAGTGCCCCAGTCTCCTTCGCCTTCAGAAAAAAACCCCAATTAACAACACTCAGTTTCCTTCCTGAAGCTACACTAAAACAGGAAGTATATTGCCTCAAGTCGCTACAAAATAGAAAATACTTCATTAAAAAATGAAACTAATAGCTTGCAGATGAACTTGAGCCCATGAATGCCCTTTCAACTGTTGGCGATTCGTACAGTCGCGAATCAGATGATAAAATTGAAAAGACACGTGAAACAGAGCGGATATTTAAAAATATACGACTGTTAATCGGCCTTAACTCACTAACAACGATAGATTCAAAACATAAAAGTGATTCAACTCACTTTTCTATGTGTTTCCAGCAGATCAACTAAATTAAAGTCAGCACACACATCCCCATTCAAAATGAAAAATCCTTCAGGATCGCCTTTCCGAATGTGATCTCGGAAATGATAGATCCCTCCTGCTGTTCCCAGAGCTGCGTATTCTTGGCGATACCTACACAGAAATAATATTTGAGAAACACATGATTTATACGAAGATCCTCAATGAACTTACCGAATCGCAATTCCATATTTTTTGCCCATTATGTCCAAAAAGCTTTGCAACTCTGACTGAGGATAAAACCCGATTATCAGGATCTCGTTTAATCCAGGAACCTCTAAACAAGCCTCAATGTGATGCTGTATCATCGGCAAACCGGCAACAGGAAATAACGGTTTCGGAACATCCAGCGAAAGAGGTCTAAAGCGTGTCCCTGTGAAACATTTTCTTAATATGAAGAGACGATTCAATAATATATGGAAAGGCATTCTGGCCGTGGACCGCCTAAAGACATTTTCATGTGATTCAGCCTGGAAGCGGTTTCAATTTTATACAATGCTTCATGGAGACAAAGCACATGAAAAATTGAAATCAACTCTTTGGAACACAAAAAATGCAGGTACTGTATTACGTTATTTAGTCCTGTTCCACAACCCTCAAAGATTTTTTTTGTGACGAACAAGATTGCAAAAATTATTTATTATGCAAAATCATTACGCTCCTTTTTCATCGGAGTTTTAGAATCAAAGTTGTGCGTGGTCCACAAGGAAATGGTAATCCGAGTTACAATTCCATGCGAATGCAAGGATAATACTGCATATGTTGCTTGGAAAACGTACGCAAAACAAACCTTTGCAAGCCAACCATTCGGGAGGAAAATTGACACAAAGGACGAACACACAAGGAAACTCAGGTAATTTCGTTGAAAAATGTTATGCACTTGATTTAAATACTCGTATATGCAGACTTTAATGACCACAACGTTGAACAGCCGCGGCAAAAATCGCTGAGGCAACTACATACTCGCGTTAAATTGTCACACAGAACCAAGAAGACGAAGTATCAAAACTCCAAACTGAACAAAGCAACCATAACCACTTTAAACCTGCGTTAGCCAAGCCACTCGTGACTGCTACTGTGCTACCGTTTCTTCTGCACATTGTACAGATACTTGTTTCTTCGGATGATGTCCTATTAGTAATGTAGGACACAATGAGGAAACTCGCGTGCAAGGCGAAGAAATTGGAGTTCCGCGATTCATACTTGCCAACATGCGCATTGAAATTAAGCAAAGAAACTAAGCACTGCAAACTACGGAAAAACGCGATTCCAAACCTGTCCCATGTTCAACTGAAGAAGGTGCTGCCCCACGGCACGACACCTGCGAACCCTTCCGTTCAGCTTCCAACGAAACACACCAGAGCTGAGACTCTGCATTGAAAAGCAAACTTTTGGGACTCATGAGCCCACAACGGACAGTGATCGCAAGAAAGCAAGATCGAAAGATATTCCAAAACCATGAGCAGACATCAACCGCCACGACCAGAAGTGCTTTTCAATGAGAAAAGTATGAGAAAAAACTTACCTTTCAGCGGACCTCCCACGAGGATCACAGATTTCAAAGTCATTTCAGCGGATTTTCCAACTCACCAACGCCGAACTTCCAACAATTTCGCGTTTCTCTCCTCACTAAAATTCAACATCAACCTTCCCGTGACTCTGTACGCACTGTCGGATATGCATCTGAAAACTGCACAAGAGAGTATAAAACACCACCGTAACAAGAGTGACTTGAATGAATAAATCAACACGAGACGCAGATAGTCAGGAAATGAAAATTTAAAATTGCACAACTCTTTTCGGCTTAGTAGGAACCGAAGGCCCCGCCATCCGTTTCGGTCTTGCAATGTCGTACTCGGTACGTTTCAGGCCGGGACATTCCTTCCTCAAATGCAGCACGGATCCACACAACCGGCAACTTCCTCCGTTCAAATAGATTCCTTTCGTATTCTTGGGACATTCCGACGATATGTGGCCTTTTTCGGTACATATAAAACACGTAGCGAAAGGGTATTTGCCCTTTTTCGCAGATACTTTGCCGTTACAATGCTTGGCTATATGCTTGTCACTACCACAGCGGAAACAAATCCCGGACGAGACTCCTCGAATCAGGGAACCGGCCGAATCCCTTCAGATAAAATGTGTACGAATGAAGTAATGAAAGCAGGCCTCGCAACAAATGAACTCACAAGAGAGCAGTATTCAGTTCGGTTTCGGGACAATCGGCCAATTGATGATCACCACTACGACACCGGAAGCACAGTTTCCGTTTCAGTCGCTTCGTGGTTTTTTCTTCTCTGCGCCGGAGGAGTCTTATTTCGCTTTCAATTTTCAATTTCGCAGTTTCATTTGGGATTTCCTCGGAAGCTTTGCGAAGTTCTATCAGAGAAGATTTGGTTTCCGCAGTCACCCAAGATCCCTCGAAGAAAAACTTCTTTCGCTCCACTTCCCGTTTCCTTCTGGAGTGAATGGAACACGAAGCAGTCAAGAAAATGTACCATTAAGCACGATAACAAATTACTTACGCTGCAAGTTCTTCCTCTTTCTTCGGATCATCACTCTCAATGGAATCGGAACCTTTGGATTCGTCACCAGAAACTGCCTCCCGAGATGTACTCTGAGCTTGAAGTTTTTCCCACGGTGTTCCATCTTCTGGAACTCTGCGGTTAGAAGCTTTAGAAGTAGCAGATCGCGCCCATCGTGTCATGATAAAATTTTACAACCAAAACGGTTGTCCGGGCGTCAAAAAAATCAAATACCGATCCCAAAAAAAAGTAGACTCAGCAACACTAATCGCCCTGTGAATTCATTGAAACATAAATTCGGAAACGAGGTTCGGTTGTCACTACAGTATTCCATAAATGAAAATGTAGTACAAGAAATGAGACACACTTTCAACTCAACTCTGACACACACGTAAGGCAAAAGACGGCAACACTACTGCGTGGCGCTTCCATGCTGTCATCTCACTATGGAAGTAAGATTTGTTCCCCAGTTCACCTATCCGTTTCCAAAGAACTGGACGGGGAACGCATCCTCATTGGATAGTTACATGATATTCTTGAAAGGGACAACGGCGTAGTAAACTGGTCGAATTGAGACAATCCTGATTATTCCTGATAAAAAAAGCCTCATATTTTGGAGACACATTAACAATTTAAAGGATTCCACCCACACTACGCCACGATTTGTTTCATGAAGTGCATAAGTAACATGTTCACTCACACAAGCAGCAAGCACTGTGTGCTGAGTACTGTGCGGTACATAATCTGGGGATGTGCATGAAAGGGGTTCACCCTTGACTTCCACATACAGTACAGTACCTGTACAAAATCTGTCGCGCTCTGTGTGCTTGAAACTTGAGATGTCTGCCTTCTGAAAAATCGCCGCTGTTTGTTTTCACGAAATCTCAAATTACAGTGAGTCTGGTGGTTGTAAGTGCGAACCGAACGATTCGTCATCTTGTGGTCGGAGGCGAAATGTTCTCCCCGACGATATCAGTTTTTATTGGCGTTTTCTGTGAAAAGCTTGTAATTGAAATTTTTATTTTATTTTAACCCCGGTGCAAATATGCTGAAAACTGATGATGCTCATTGCTTTGTTCCAGATTATTTCGTGTGGCAAAGGAGCTAGGGAAACTCATTTTTCTTGAAATTGAAGGCCGTGCACATGCATGGACTTCCTTGATTGAAATCCGTTGATAATTATTCAGAAACCGCTGAAGCTTCTCCGCAATGGCTCATACCGGCGAAGGCGATACCAGGGTCTCGTGGTCATCCGTCTACTCCAGGCAGCCGCAGCTCATCTCAAAGCAATCGTTCATTCCTCGTCAGTGTCAGAAAGCAGTCAGCAGTGCAGTATGTTGTACGGTTATGCATCCATTCACGTACTGCAAAACTCTGGTCCAGGTTTGTGCTAATGCGAAGCTTGGTGTGGTGTACCGCTTTTATTTTATTCTGTTCCTCATACTTCTACAGTTCGGACATGAACCGATGGAGCCGAAACTATCCAAGAATTGGCTGGGAACTCCTGTCCTGATGCTTCCTAGCATCTTTCAGTACAGTACGTTTGTTTCTCCGTTTTTCGCTTCTGGTTGATGAGAAATATTTTTCAGTTCGTCACGTCAAGCGTCGAGAGGGATTTACCGGGTGTTACCGTGGCTTAAGTGGAAATATTGCTACACACGTTGTTCGCAATTTTACTTACGACTATGTGGAACGATGGATGAATACGGTCGACGAAGAATCTTCAAGACAGGACGATGAGGAATCCGACGGATCACAGAAGGTAGTAGCGAAGCGAATCCTCAAGCAAGTCTGCGTGCATGGGGTTTCCATCGTCGTCAGTCAGCCTTTTCATGGTTTGCAGTACATGCGATAGTTTTTTTATTAGATTTGTACAATTCACTTTTCTTTTCAGTCATCACCTGCCGCATGATGGTCCAGTTCATTGGACAAGAGACGAAATACAACGGTATTTTCGGCTCGATCCGGGAGATTTATCATAGTGATGGTATTCTTGGCTTCTTTGCTGGTATTGTGCCGAAGCTTATTGGTGATATTACATTGGTTGCCCTGACGCAATATACGAATTACTGGATAAATCGTCTAGTGAGCGACCCGAATGTGCGGACGATTGCACCCTACATTACTTCGGTGAGTGCTGCGTAGAATGATGAATGAAATTGTCAATCTTATGGAATTTGTTTCTGTTGCAGATGGTATGCTCGTCGGTGATGTATCCGTTCACCATTGTTTCCAATTGTATGGCCGTCAACGACTGCGGGTGAGTGTGCCACACTACGCGATCAGTCCTTGAAATAACAGTGTGTGCCCTTGGAGTTCAGCAACACTTCTTAAAAGTGCATCAAACAGCTCTTCAGATTTGCCAATCCTCTATGTAGTTCAGGAGATGCATTTCTGGGTGAAAATATTACTCTTGGAGGCCCCTCTTCCGTCTTTACTGAATATTGTATGTTAATTTGAAGCCCATCAGAATCATTGATGCATTACGCGAGTCGCGAGATTATATTTTTTAGAACTGTTCTAAAGTCGTTTCGAGATTTCTTCGCAAAATTATATACTGTATTAGAAATTGTCAAATAATTTGGAAATAAGTCGATTCTGGCGTTCTTAGTCGATATCGTGTGAACTACAGGTGTTCCATTTTTTTTGTTGGTTGCCTATGTCAGCAGTACTTTCTATGCATTGTGGATTCGTACGATGTTTCCTCCATGGTTTGTATCCATTATTTTTGCAGTTTGGTCGGAGGAGTGCCGCCACACATGCCGTTGTATGCGGATTGGACGCAGTGTTATTCTCACCTGCGAAGCATCGGGCAGCTCAACCGCGGAGGCTCATTAGGCGGTCGTTATTACGTTTCTGGGCCCACCGCCATTATTCTTGCTTCTAGTCTGAGGAAGCGGGTTGGATAACCCTGTGATGTGTTTTCTGTTGCCGAGTTTGATTATGTGAGGGGGAAGATGGAAGTTCAGCATATGTTTCGCTGAATCGTTCGCAATTTTTGGCCTGTACCTGTTGCCTTTAGTCGCAGTCCTCGGAGATTCTTTGGGTTGTTTTCTCACCAGTTCTGTTGAAAATCGTTGAACGTGCTGCATTTATGATCGAAAAGTTTTTATTTGATGACGAAATTGTTTTCCTTCGTCTGCAGACGACGTTACTTGAGACATAGTTTTTGATTCTGTGTGTGACGATGCCGCGCGGGAAGAATGATTTCTACCTGCGCTACTATGTTGGGCATAAAGGAAAATTCGGCCACGAGTTCCTTGAGTTCGAATTCCGTCCTGACGGTGAGTTCTCCTCGACAAACTTGAACTTCTTGATAGAATTTAATAACTTAAGCTTCCTTTTTTTTCATCGGCGAATATAGGCAAGCTGAGATATGCGAACAACTCCAACTACAAGAACGACGTTATGATCCGAAAAGAGGTAATAGTTCGGAATGAATGAACTCTTTTCGCAGAAAAACTTATCCAAGCCAAAATGATTCGTTTATGATGTAATTTCACTGTTGAAAAAATGCATATAAATGCTGGACCGAATACCAATAAACTTATTTTTAACTACTTTCTGAACAGTTTAAAATATTACAGTACAGTGCAGTTCAGTACATGGAAAACTCCAAAATTGAAGCTTACTAAATTTTCCTCAGGAATGTGTTCGTTTGTAGTTTTGAGTGCGTTAGTGCAACGTGAGCACGCATTGTTATGCAACATGCTCCGCAAAAATTTGCTGTTAGCTCTTGTAAGAGGATTGAAGATCTCTGTACTAAATCAGCGTATCTTAAGATACTTTTCTGGTTGTCAACCACGATTTTCTTTGTTTTCAGTGACTCCTCGTTTTTGCGCGAAGGTTTTTTATTACGAATTATCCTGAAGCAAAGCGAAATAGAATTCAGTGTCTACGCAATGCGGCTTTTGTGTTTCAACACCGCTCGATTTTGTGGTGAAAACATCCTTCACGCAATTTTATTCGTTTCTTATTAAATTATTTCATCAGGCACTTGATAGGAAGCCAAAAATTAATTCCACGAAGTCAGCTTTAGGTAAAGTAAATGTACGGTTACTGATGTTCAAAAATGTGCCTGAACTTCTTTCAGTAAAGCATCTGTATATTGACAGGTCTATGATATATTCAGAAAATGCGGTGCGGAGGACCTGCAGTTTTCGTTTCTGAATGCTTTTTGTTTTTAACTCGTTCGTATATGTATTCAGTGCACCGTGAATGCCTGTGTGCTGGACGAGCTGAGACGGATAATTGACGACAGCGAAATTATGCAAGAAGATGATACCATGTGGCCCCCACCGGATCGTGTTGGTCGACAAGAACTTGAAATCGTGATGGGAGACGATCATATATCGTTCACAACTTCGAAAATCGGCTCACTGGTAGACGTGAACACGTCCAAGTACGTTATTACTTTCTTATAAAACTTTTTTTTATCGAAACCACGTATTCCTAACACTACTTCACATGTATATGTACTTATCTATACAGTAATTATGCTCCACTTTTAACATTAACTCGGTGTTGGGAGGATTTTCAATGAGTAAATCAGATCCAATAATGATTATTCGAATGGATGCGCAAGTCGGGCTACACAGTTTAATAAGGTTTTTTTTTATGATGCGCAGGTGAAGACCGGGTTTTAAACGATTCGTTAAAGCCACATCTTCTTCAGAAAAGCAAAATTAATGGCAAATAATGCAAATGAATTGAATTATACAATATCCTTCTGTATAAATTAATTTACCATGATCATCTTTCATGTGGCTCACGCGGAGAATTAATGCATGACTTTGTCGATGTTAAAAACTTCAAATTAATACTAATCACGAATGTCAAGTCATAAATTTTCATGTTTCGAACTGTGGTTGTTTGATATTATAACATGAACTTTTATTTCAGGGATCCAGAAGGATTGAGGTGTTTCTACTACCTCGTACAGGATCTCAAGTGTGCAGTGTTTTCGCTGATTGGCCTACATTTCAAGATCAAGCCCATATAAAATGTGTCCTCAAAAGTCATGTTCCTGATGGACGTCACGTTCGGGGTTCCTTCTATTTTGAAGCCAGTTCAGTTCACAGAAGTGTGCTTTGTCGAATGTCACTTCTGTACCTGAATATCTCTGAGATAACTGGCATTCCCTTCTCTTCCTTCAACAATCCACGAGTTAGTGCGTGTTCTTTTTTAACGTTCGTTGATCCCGAGATGCAAGAAATTTCTCATGAACTTTGAGTTTCATTGTAGGTTTGAAAACGAAGTCGAACGTTCGTAATGTTTCCGTCCACTCCCAAAACACGCCACGAGGTGAAAAAAAAAAACGCGACGAAATGCGTCATATCACCATCATTTATTCAACTTAATAGCATATTCCAGTGCATTACACAACAAGAGGTGAAATACAACGAATCACAGGAAATAAAAATCCATCTCCCAATCTCACCCACCCAAAACAATTGATGACCTTGCTTCCGCTATTAGACGGTTGTTACTCCATTAATCTTCACGAGAAGAATATCAGGAGCTTTATTAAAAGCTTCAGCAAAACGCAAAGGGGCAATTCTTGCACACCGACCAGGCTTTATATCAAAAATCTAGAACTGTTGTTTGCTAGTTTGTGTTCGCAGGCACATGCCTCATGTAATCTCTTTTTTCCCCCGAAATTTAACAACTTCAACCCGTTTCCCGATCGGCGTGGCAGGAACCGGTCACCTTTGTCTTGTCACATGGGACTTTTCGAACAGACTCAAATAGAAAGTTTCACGATGGCGCAGCATTCTCAGTGTCCTTAGGCGAGACAATGATGATTTCCGGTTCACTGGGCGACGGCGTTCGGACCTCGTGCACCGGTAACAGCGGAGTATCATCTCGCGCATCTTCCCCGGGACCGTCCACGATGGAGGGCCACGTAGTGGGTGACTCAACGCGGCCCAGCCGTTCATTGAGCGCTTTGAGAGCCTTCTGACGTCTGCGTTCCGCGTCTTGGGTGTCCATCCCCGGAAGCGTGATTGTGATGGATGAGGGACCAGCCACGTCATACCGGCGGACGGGTTTGCCGCACACTTTTATCCGCACCAGAGCATCAAACACCAAGCGGCAAAACACGGCGACCGGGGGTTGGATTACATTTGGAAAGAACCTTGGAAGAAGAGGTACATGACTGGATGAAAACGAGATCATTCCTGGAAGGTCCTGCGAGTTCCTCAAGAAAGTTGAATTTCGCGAAGTTAAACTTGCAGAAAACAAAAGCAGTTCTCCGTGCGTGACTCAAGTTTTTATCGTACAGTGAAACATTCATCCAACAGATTCAAATAGGGACAGCATGAAGGTCCATGCTGTAACATTCAACAAGAAATATCACGTCCACATGATACATTCAAATTACTTTATGAAAATTGGAAAGGTAACAAACACTGACCGTCTCATGATTAAAAAAAAATTAGGAAACTATTCCTACTTAAATTTTTAGAGTTACAATGAACATTCGAGATTGAAACTCACGTGGCAAACGCGAAGTTTTCCGCCATGTCTCCCTTTGTGCCGTTACTGTGATGCTGGTAAAAGCGTAGGTAAATCCAACTTGATACAAGCCCGAAACCAAACATGACAGGGTATGTGCCTTCGACCAGCCCAAGAACGTATAAAATTATCGCGATGATCAATAGCCCCAGAGGAACGTTGCGGTTTGTAATCTTCGTCACGGGCGTTTTCATCACCACCTGAAATTCGAATGCGACCAAATAAATTTAGGGTACGTCGAGAGAAGAATACAGTAATGGGTAAAAGCAGATGCAATGTTCGAAAGCATATTATTTTGTTACAACTATAACTACAGGATCGGCTTTGCTTGAAGTCCAAACGTCACACAGGTGTCGCCCGAATCTTCGCTGATCAAATCTGGATAGGTAGGCCATGAACTGGTATAATTCAACCGTGCTCAAAGTAATTCAGACAAACCAACAAAATACTACAGTATATTTACTTGAGTACCCTGCGCACCTTTTCTTCTAAAATTTGAGAGGGTGCGCGTCAAGGGCAGTTGTACATTTTTCAAAAAGTTTCAAAAATTCAGGTGTGCATATTGATTATGCACACCTGGGAAATGTTCGAACACGTTCAACGAAATACTCATTTTAATGGAAACGACTAAAATGTGTCAAATCATGTCTACATTCAAATTTGGGCGTTCTAATTTCTAAAATACTGCGGTTTTGGAGTCAATAAAATGGGGTAAATATCTTACTCAGGGATAGGATTTTAACAAAATTTTCCAATGAAAAACACGAGTGCGCATTTTATTTGAGGGCGTGTGGTATTCAAGTAAATATACCACTGTAAACAAGGATTTTTTCTTTCAATCCAGACGACCCTTATGTAGGGGTAAAGTAGATCACAGCGTTGGGAAGAACAGCAAGCATAACAGTATGAAAGATTCACCATATCCGTGAATAAGTGTGGTCGCTCACCTGATCAGGAATCACTTGCTTAACGCAAACAGTGACCGCGGCAATGTACCCCGAAAGACCATGAATCCGTATGTCAAACAGCAATTCCGGATTGAACAGGAAACTGTAGAGCACCAGGTAGAACGCAGATGACGCTACAGCCACAGCCACGTTGACAATCCCAAAAAACGTGAGCATTTCCGTGGCGCCCCAAAGCGGCTCAATCAGCTTCCCGCACAACACCAGGGTCACGATGTCCACCAACACTTCCCACAGGTGAAACTCCAGAAAGAAACAGGAGAATATCGTCCAGACTCGGAAATGGGGCGGGAAGAAGTAGGCGGGCGTGATGGAGATGGCAGCCACGGCATTCTCAGAGTACGACAGGAAGTACGCGAACACGATCACGACGCAGAGTACGCGCACGAAAAGGGAGGTGTTCAGCCACAGCGCGCGAAGTTGAGGCAAGATGAAAGACAAGTTTTTGTTCACCGAACGCATGTCCACGGCCATGATTCACCGACCACTTCGCCACGCCGTATTTCCTCTGCTGCCCTTTGCTTTAACGCCTTAACCACGACATCGCGCACATTTCGGGAGATAAACCTGAAACAAAAGTAATGGGATACTTCATTATTTAATCGTAGCCGAAATTACCAGGAAGCAAAAACAGGAACATAAATGGCATCAAATGCTGCAAGCAAGTACCATATTAACCCAATTACAGGCCACATTTTAAACCGAAAAGATCCGGTCACTTGGCCTTCTTCCAAAAACTTCGCTAAACTTTTCTCTCACGACTTTCAATCCGTGTCTTGCAATAGCTGTCTTCACAGTCGATTTTCATCAGCACTATCATTAAAAAAAAAAAGGCAAATAGCAATGCAACTATCATTCCAAATCAAATCTACTCCCAGAAGTGGTCCAAAACGTTAAATAGCTACCGTTGAATGGTGTTGATATCCTTAATACGTTTTTCTCAATTTTTCTACTTCTTGACACAAAAAGATCTGCTACTAAGACGGGCATCATGAACATGCAAGGAGTCTTACCAGAAGTTCTGGGAATATAAATTGAAACGGTGTACGATTGAGCTGAAAAAGAATCCGTGTTCAGAAAGAAACATTCTTCGGCATAATAACAACAAACGCAGCCCTATTAAGTATATTTTTGCACAATACTTTTGCGATCTTTCAAAGTAATTCCGCCATTTTACTGAACAGCCGCCACATTCTCATTCCAAGTGTTGTTCAGCTCAATCGTACGCAGTTTCAATTCCTATTCTGAGAAAAATTCGTTAGATCCCTCGAATACATTCTTCCATGAGGTTCTTTCTACAATCGTACAATTTATTTCGCGTTTATTTCTCCGAAACAGGGATTATTTCTCCAAACAATCTAGTATTCTCATCGGAAGCTGGATGTAATCTGATCGACTAGAATTTGGATGATTTATTTGAAGGAACCCATCAAGAAGTGACGCTTAGGATTACTTTCATTTCAAGTGTTCAAACAACATTCAACGACCAAGAGCTTGCTTTCACGACGGAAACTTGATTCCACTCCAGTGCTCCGCAATCGCCCACAGACGCTTCGCATCCTCCACATTCAAAACTTCAATCGACCCAGGATCCGCCTCTTTCGCCCTAGTAATATTTTTTTTTAACAAAACGCACAAAAACTGTTTACTGTAATTCGAGAGAGCTCCGGAAGACGAAATGGTCTCACTTGAGATAGGGAACGGAAATATCCTTCGATGGACACAGAGCTGCATAAAGAGGAGTGGCGGCTCCGTGTCGGGCAGTTCTGAGAAAGGGATAGGCCAGAGGCCAGACGAATGCAGCAGCTAAAATACTGTTATAAATTCCGAAATGCCGGAGCAATGGAGTATTTACTAGCCCTCCAGCCTCGGCTGCAACCACTTCAACGTTAGTTCCTGAGAGGAAAAAAAAAACTCTTCAACCTAGTAAAAAACACATAACTGAAGGAACTGAACGATTCTTTGCAGCGTGAAATGAGCATTCCTCGTTATAAACAGAGGGGGTTCCGACCATATGGACGATTCGCATTAAGGGCAATTAATAACTAAAAAATCTGCCCCGAAATCCAGCCGACGTCTCGAGATATGAATACTTCAACATTTTTAGACACACTAACAATTTTTATTCTACAAAATGTTCATATCTCTTGAAAATAATTAAACTTTCTATACTGTATTCACAAATATTAAAAATTGAGTGTATTATAAATTTAATATAATTTATACTCCAAAATAGACAAATTACATGCTTCTTATTTTCTGAATCCCTTCCATCATCTGGGCAAGTATAGGAAGACTTCCGCTTGTTCTTCGCTTTTTGGGCTTCTTCTGATGCCAAAAGATCAGATCATGTGTGGTTTTCTTCAGCATAGTTTTTTTCTTCTGAACCTTGAACTTGAGAAAAATCATTTTATTCAATTTTCGGGGATCCTTTTTTCATTTTTGATCAACAAGAGAACCAATGAAATACGGTACGTACATTATTCCCATTGAAGTCTAAGGTAAAACGTAATCCGAAATGCGGATAATCCGACATAGGGACAAGGTCCAAGCACAATTAAGTCCACATCTCGAAGCCCCACTTTTCCTACCGTGTCAATTACACTGAATAATTTTTCAAGCTTAAGTAAATGTCACTAGCAGTAGCAAGGTTTCCTAAAAAATCGATATAAGTAAGGACCGATTTTTTGGCTTCAGTCAATTTATTTTATGATAATCTTCCTCCACAACTTTACCCTTTAATTCCTTGCATAAGAGTTTCCCCAAAGATTATAAACACACCAAAAACACCGACTTCCATGAAAAAAGTAATCCTTTTACCAAATTGAGACAAGAGGCAGAAATTACCTGATAATCGCTGCTTCAGCAAAGCAGTGAACAGCACCACAGCAAGCTTACTTTGATTGTAGGCTTCCTTCGGGTCATATGCCTCGAATCGATTCAAGTCTTTGAACAGGATTTCTCCGCGTTTGAATGCGCTATCGGACACATTCACAATCCGAACGTTTCCGGGATTACCCTATGTTTGTACAATTGAAAAATTTGTAAAAAAAAACGCAAGTCGAAGAAAAAAATATATCCCGACGAACTTTGAGCTTGTCGAGTAGCAGCGCTGTCAGAACAAAGCTCCCCATAAAGTTCACTCCAAAATGCGTCTCCAAGCCTTCAGACGTGACGGATTTCGGGCAACCCATGACCCCGGCGTTGTTCACTAACACGTCGATTTTCGGCTCCTCTAAAGTCGCAAAAATTAAAATTGACAAAATCTATGGAAGGCGTGGAAAAGTAAGAATTTTGCTTGTTTGAAATTTTGGGTGAGGCATGCAAGTGAATTAGTTAGAAAGGCTTGAAAAGAAGTGCTACAAGAGTTGGTATAATTATTGGTCATTATTTGCTTTTAATTAGAAGATGAAGCCAATCAACCCTGCATTACTACTCCAACAATATCAAATTAGGTGTGAAACGACAAAGATATTCAGACTGATAATGACACCTGCCCACGTTAAAATACATAAATAAAAAGGAACGAGTGAGTGAGTGAAAAAATTTAGTAGATTAAAATATTAATCTAAAAAACCTCGTTTTCAAAAAGCAAAAAATAACCTTAGACTTGGTGCGCATCTATTTCATTTGTATTTCACTTCTTCCCAACAATCTCCATGCAAAATTTAATCCGGACAAACAAACGGACAAGAAAGCGAGTTAATAAAAACGTGTTAATTAAAATAATAATGGACGCATTGGAGAATTTCATGAACAGGAATTTCACGAACGGTAAGGTTGCCTGTGACATCTACCCGTACTAAGGAGATTATACCTCCTCGAAGACATAGCAGAACATCAAAATAATGGAAAATTTCACGAAAACTCGTTGCAGCTGACATCAAGTAATCTCGCACGAAGTCTATTTCCAGAACGAACCTTCTTTGACGCGTGCAACGAAAGCCTTGATCGAAGAATACGATCCCAAGTCACAAGCTCGACAGACAACGTGACGGTTCAACGTTTCACCGATGATTTCTTTCCGCACCTTTTCACACCTGCAACCAATATTAGCTTAGATTTGACCACCTCATTTCTCTTACAATAAAACGCCATCAAATATTTTCACCTCCATTCGCACGTCCTGATTGAAAAATAATTTGGCCGTGAACGCAAGACGCACTTTCATCGCATTACATAATTTTCTTCATGAATCGATTATATTCATGCTTCATGAACACTCACCGACTTAATTTCCTCGAACTAATTAGGATTCCAACTTGTATGCCATTGAAATTGAAATTTTGGTGAGGACGCGCTCCATTGAATTACTGTACATACTCTCTTTGTAATTGCACGATTTCGTAGTTCAAAGATGCAATAATTTTGCGCATCACTTGCTAAATTAAAACGCCATGTCATGAGTAAACTTAAATCTAACAGAACAGAAGAAGCGACAAGATTTTAAGAGCTGATTTCCGCAAAACGAGGAGAGTCTCATATTTGAGTAAATACTGCATTTCTTTAATAAAAAAAGAGAAGTTAGGCTCACTTTTTCATATCACGACACGCCATGATGACACGAGCTCCATGCTTGGCTAAAGACTCAGATATCTCTCGACCGATCCCCGAATTTGCCCCGGTCACAATCACGATTTTCCCCTTGGCACGCTGAAGCACGGCGTCTTCCGGTTCCGCCTCGCCGAATACTCTTTCACGCAAGAGTGCGCCACCGCCCAGGAAAGTACCGAAAGCACTTCCGTACAAGACCCAACGTGGTAACCGCATCGCTTCAATTTAGCCGTCTTCAACAACACAAAAGATTTCCCACAACAGACCACTTACGCTTATCATGGATAAGAATACAAATGCTTGACCCTAATTTTCTTTACTTCTCTCCTCAAACGGCCAAAATACCAATTTTGGAATTACAGTACTGTACTCGCAAGTGTCGCCTGAATTTATGATCTGAACATGCATACCAACTTCTACGTTCAGCATTCTATCAAATATATTTGCCCCCAAAAACGCTCAGAACTGTCGGCTGAGGATTATTACTGAGGTATTTGAGGATGGGCCACAGTGACAAGAATTAGCAGTTCGTAGTCAAAAGTAAGACAACGTGGTTTAAGATATCACGACGTCGGGCGACACCTATACAACATGAACGGAAGCCTTCCGAAGTTCGGGCGTTTGAGAAGAGCAATTCTTTTTTATATCATCAGAATTCAAGGCACGTTTTTTCACTCTGAACAGAAATTTTTTTTACGAAATTTCGAGACGCATTCGGATTTTCATCAAAAGTGAACAATTCCTCGAGGATAAAAACGATCGCGGATCAAAAAACGGGTAATCGCATCTTCGATCGAAACAGGATCACACGAACGACGCGCTTCCCGCGTCCACATCTGAAAGAATAAAACTCGGATTATTCACGATTCCATCCTCTAGAATCTAAATTCCAAGATATCAGAATATATAATTGAAAATAAATTTACACGATTTACGATTATACTACTCATCCGAAATACGATTCTGTGTCAAATTCCATATGCCGCCAAAGCTAAAATCTATAGAATTTCAAGTTCAAATTCGAAATTAACCCCAAGGATAACTGCGTGGCGGCAATACTGTACTTCGAATAATAGTAATACAAATAAAAAGTCAGTGTTTAAAACGGAACCCGGCAGAGAAGAAAGATACATTTTTTTAAAGTTTAAATGGATAATGTTTGCCCCGTATCTGTCCACGGACTTGGAACTTGTTGTACGTGGTCATCAGAGGGCAGTATTCAATATAGGAGATGAATGTGATGACCGATTAAGCCTCTCGTATCATGGTCACGAATCCAACATCTCCGTAAAATAATTGGTTCATTTTGACTACTTCTTGCTTCTCTCTTTCGAATCATTTCGGATGCACGAGTTGAGTCTTACGGAATGTCTGACAAGTAAACCCATGGAAATGTGGACAGAAGGTGGTCGGAAGCGTCGCAAACCTCAATTGCTTGCAAGCACTGAGAGAGTAGAATTGTGACAGCGAAACTCAGACCTGACAATAATTAGCCAATGGAACGATCTTTTCATCATATAAATTCTTGCGTTAGTAAATGCTGAATTTGGATATAGAGTAGCTCTAAAATATTAAACAAGACGCTTGATATTTAATGATATAGACTGAAGTTCAAGCAAATCCAAATCAAATAAAACGAGACTCGCACCAACAGTAATTGGTCATACAGTTATTGAGAGGATTGTGACTTCGAAATTCGGGCAACCCGAAGACCTTCATTCAAAAGGTACGAGACTGACAGAACATTCCAACCTACTCTACGCATTACCTATTTTTGAATAGAAAAAAGAGGCTCACTTTTGATAGGTCAAGAATCATTCGGCTTTGACGTCTTCGTCGGAACTTCTGATCCTTCCTCGCCTTCATTTTCTTCTTCGGCAGGTCTCTTGTTGCTCCATCGCAAACCGCCCTTGATGAATCGCTCGGCTGCCGGCACATCAAGTCGTGCCATTTTCCTCCTCGACTCGATATCATTCACTTGAGACATGAGTGACTGAATTCTGCTCATGTCCGCACGGACCTTGTGACTTTTAGGGTCTTCTCCTCGTAAATGCAAGTAAACCCAGAAGGCTGAATGCAGAGCGAAAAGGTGAGCGAGATTTGCTTTCGCTTTCAGTAGTGAATCCAAGTTCTCGAAGTCCGCTGAGCGACAAATTTCCTTCTTCGACTTGAACTGCTCTTGCAAATGTCGGGATGCTTCGTCCAATCGCAGTAGGCCAGCCGCCACTTCCGGCGGGAATTCCGTAGTGTCCTTCACCGACATTGCCAACTTTCTTTCACCGTCTGTAAGAGAAATAATTAGGCAAAATGCATAAAATATACTTGAACAACATATACTTCAAGTCACCAACAAAAACATCATCGTCACAAAAAAAGTCAATTTTTTGGGGTCAAGCTTCAACTACTATGCAATACAAGTGTGGTTATCGACATGATCTGATGAAAGACTTCTGGGTTTTTCTCACTCCAGAGCCCACAATCTCGCTTTTTGAAATCTACAGCAGGTGAACAAATAAATCAGCCTTCACTAGTTCACTCGCCATAGCCAAACAAAAATAACGCAAGGTTGCCCGAGATATTTGTATCAAACCTGAAGCAAGCATAAAATTCCATCAAGTTTTCAAGCGACATCTATTAAAAATCCACAGAAACCACGGGTTTCGGGACTTTCGACGATTCAGTGAAGATAACCAAATAAAGAAATGAACATAAATCAGAAACACAAATGAACAGCCTTCTCGAGAAATCCAGGCGTGAATAGCTTCGAAGTTGAAAAAATTCGATCTTTAAATACAACTGTTCATCAGACAAAAATTGAAGACAGCAGAAAATCGATACATGCCAGATTATTCTGATATTTTTCCTGTCACAAACCAAGATTGTTTTTTAGCTAATACATCATATCGTTTAAGCAGTCTTCGTAGCTTGCGAAACTGCTGAGGATGCTTAAATTCACTGGTGACACACATAAATAGATACAGTACAGATTCTTTTCTATACTGTATTTTTAAAGTATTCAACGCATGTCGCATACGAGGGTTGGTTCATAAAAGATTATGAACGGCCAAATGCCATCATTGGAGGCGGACGCAATTTTTTCTTTTGCTCCTCAATCCTTCCTTGGTGCCTGGTAAATGTTTCATCCACTAATCAACTACAGATGGAAACAAGAAGAAGATCAAATAGTCAATATTCTCCATTGAAGTGAAGTTTACTGGATCAATATTGATTGTAGAGCATACAAGTGCGCAGGCGCAGCTTCTCTTGATCCATTAAACTTCACTTCCGTGGAGAGCATTGACTGTGAGGTATCTTTCTTGTTCCAATCTGTAGCTGAGTAGTGGATGAAACCTTTATTAGACACCAATGAAGGATTGAGAAGCAGAGGAAAAAATTCCATCCGCTTCCGATGACGGCATTTGCTGTTTATCATCTTTTACGAACCATCCCCTTGTATTTTGAACATCAGTCCATCAATTCGAATTTTACTGGAGCTACGCCAACGAACACTGATACTGTATTATTCTCAACAGAATTCAGGTGGCAGAGGAGTTCGGAAAAATTCGGATCACCTGAAAAAAAATAATAAACCCAAAACGCAACACAGGTATAACAGGGCTGAATCACAAACGATTCCTTCCCAGGGCAAAAACATGCTAAACACAGAAACCCTCAATGATACGCATCTGTGCATTATGCAAGAAGAGCAGGATTCGTTCTTTATTACTAATTTTGGGGTCGTGCTTTAACAAGGTTAACAGTAAAATACTCAAACATGTATCATTGGAGTCAACGTCTCCTCAGTTCTCCACTGGAACTCAGTGAGAAGCTGTAACTCGAATCTGTATCGTGCAAGTTGGAAAAAATGTGGACAACGTCGCTTCAGGTATTTGGAAAACGACATAATCAATGCATTTCAGACACCTGACAACTGATCTCTTGCACTTGTGGTTGTCTCATAAAAAGTTAGCAAGCAAACACTTTCGAATGAATGTGTGCCGATTGCTGAAAAATAACACTTCGGTAATAAAATAGGACACTTGTGAAATATTTCGAGAAAAACTACGTCTGTAATTCAATTTTTTATAATGTACAGTTTTCCCTTCAATTCCAGACGGTCGTGGCTTTAATGCTTTCTTAGTTTCTACAAACGTGTCGCCTCAATTTCATCCCGTATTTCCCGGTTTCGTGGTGTTACGTTCATTTGAAGTGTTTCCAAGTCAAGTTCGATTATGCCAAGCTAGTTTTCTATACCTAGGGAAAACGCTGAACTACTAATATTAGCGATTCGTGCGACATCTACGCAGTCGGGCGTTGAAGTTAGCAGAGTACAATGTACTGTACAGTAATTTCAAATACAGTCCAGCCTCTTCAAGACTAACTTCAAGGGATCAGCAAAAAAAGTGAAAATACGGAGGTTTTCAACTCACTACAGTATTTCCAAGGGACTTGAAAACAGTTCGACATGGGGAGGTTCGAGTAACGGAAGTTTATTTGTTTTCGCAAGTCAATATTTTTCAACATGAACGCTAGGTGTCGCGGAATCAAGAATTGTCTATAATTATATCATAGATGTCGCCCGAAATGCTTTTGACTTTTCGAATTGTACTTCGAAAGCTCGAGATGAAAACAGCAAAAGAAAATCCTCATGACTTAAGAACTTATTCATAATTTTCCTTTTCCCTACAGTTGATGTGCATCATCCTGTTCACCCTACATATTCAAGATGCAGAATCCGCAGACCTTAAATCTGTTACCTACACAACAGCTGTGGAACCACGACAAACGCTGACATTATCATCACTAGGTCTCGGCCTGGGTATTTCTATAGACCAAATCGCAAGATTACTCCGCACTTTCCTCTGGTTCAACATGATATTCATCGGACTGCAAGTCGTTTTGTTCCCCATTTTCGTGGTCTCCTACAAGGATATTTGGTGCGTCTACGGAAACTTCGACTGCTACTTCCGTTTTGGCATAGATACCTACGAACCGGACTACGAAGATTTATTCGTCGCAGACAAAAAGAAGACTGTGAAATTAAACGTAAAGCAGGTGCTCAAAGAACAGGAGCCTTATCTTCCACTGAAGACGGATGTGGAGCCGTTGGAAATTTATCCGGCCCTACAGGGACCACATCAACCCGTGCCTGACGTGATCAAGAACAATCTTTTGCAACACGAGAATGTTGACTTGTTTGAGGAAGTCGCCATACCTCCCCATCACGGAAGACGGAGTGACGTGATACAAGAGAACGTGATAGAACAACGCAAGCTCCGAATTCCGAATCGTTCGATTTGGGAAATTGCAAAAAATTGGCTTCAAAATATCGGTTAAACCTGACACTGAACACAATTTTCGGCATGGGGGGGGGGGCATACGAGAACCAATAAAAGTTTTTCGCTCTGTGTTATTTCGCGCCAAGAAAACACTGAACAGCGCTGATCTCCAGGTTAGTGTAAGAGTTTAAATCCAAAAACATGCCTGATTCCGATTATACGGAATATCATCAAAGGATATCTTTCTGTACTTGGGCATAGAAAAATATTTACCCACATCGGGGCGAATTTAGGATGCCCCTATATTTTTCAAGACCAAAAGTGTAAAAAAAAGTTCGCCAGGAAATCTGACTAATTTCAGGAAACCAGTGAAAAAAAAGTGAGAAACTCACAGTTGAGTCAGAAGATAAATTTAAAAAGGTAGACCTAAGAATTGTTCATACAGGATAACTTTAAAAACTGCGCACCACAATAATAAACCGCAGCCGAAAACTAATTTTAATCTTAATTCTAATGAAAAAGAACAGCGCGACCAATATTAAGTAAACCGAAGAAAAATTCTCAAAGAAAGTTTCGAAACAATTTTCGATCATTGGACACTCTAAATACTGTATTTACTTTTCTGCATTTCGTTCAGATCATCCTAGTATAACTGATTCTAAGTACTGTAATACGTAGCGGAGAGTTCCATGCATCGAGGTACAAAACAGTATTATTGTAATATGAAAAAGTTGCACATTTTTGGTCCACATCACGAACTACCGTATCTTGATACACCATTTTCAGATACACCCTTTTTAGGGCAATTACATTGAAAATTAAAAATCGTCTCACATTCGGGTTTTTCCGAGTTGCTCAAGATCACTCGAGTTTCAAAAATATGAACTCACCTCAAAATTCGGAACGAATGGCGGAAATACCTTCACCGATTCGCTATCCCGGAAAGTTCTCAACGCCGCTATACGAACAGAAATCACTGGCGCACGAATCTCTCACCAATCATGTTTTCACGCAATATACCGAATCGGAAAGTCTTCATGTCGTCTGAATAAAGTCCCGTAGACAGCACAATACAGTAATTAGTTCAATCCCTTCAATAAAATGCGTGAAAAATTGAAATTGACATGTACAAATCTCTCCTTACATTTTTGCATTTGAAATCGTGCGCGAAGACGAAGCAGAACAGAATGAGTCGGAAGGAAGGTGGAAGTGATTGACCACGCAGTAAATCAACGATGAGAGTTAGAATCGATGATCATTATGCTGAATGAGCTCAATTTCATTTCTTCTGCGACGCGTCCTTCTGCTTCTTCTGCTTTTTCGCTTCTTGCTCATCGATCGGGGCTGGTTGCACGAATGGAATGAATTCCTTGTATTCTGGTGAAAGATTAAAGAAGACCGTAAAACTTCATCCAAATACAATAAAGTAACACATTTAGAACATACGACACTGTTAACTTCAGACTTACGTCTCACTATTTCGAGGACATTTGACATGAATGTTAACTCAAGTTCAGGATTCAAGTCAAGTACAGTACTGTACTGTATATGCACAGAGTCAATTTCATAGATAAGCATCTGAAGGATATTTATGAGCCCCACATCAAACTTGAAAAATTATCTGAACTAAGTAACGAAAACTGAAAATTTAGCAGCACATGTGCGCACCTGGTAATTACAGTATTTTCAGAGTCATTGTCATTACACTGCTTGCAAGATCAATTTTTACAAGAGAGATCGTGATTATTCCATTTTATCCTTATCGCTATGCACGCATTGTTGGGATAAGATTTCATCATTTCAAAATCGGTCCACTTCTCGTTCCTTCCTGCACAAGATGGTTTATGATGAATTTCGGAAAAAAGGCAGTAAGTCAAACTTTCGCCTGCAAACTCGTTTAATTTTGAGAGGATAAAAACGACGGTGCGTCTAAGAATAAATAGCGTCTCACACTCGTAAACAAACAAAAAAAATCTTTTTAGTATCTGAAAATTTTGGCACGAAAACATTACTTTTCGGCATGTACGGCTGCAGAGGTTCGGGAACTCTAATTCCATCTTCAGTCTGATTGAGTTCCAACAAAACGCAGATCACTCGAGTAGTAGCACACATCGTCGCATTCAGCATGTGGACGTATTTCGTCTTGAAATATAAAATAGGACATGAGTCACTTATAGGCACATGGTAATCAATATTGCTCACATTAGTTCCCATTTTCTTGGTCTGTCCGTAGCGTATGAGCAGACGCCTGGACTGGTAATCAGTACAATTACTGCAAGAGACGAGTTCCCGAAAAGCACCTGAGCCAGGAAACCATGCTTCTATATCCCATTTCTTCGCGGCTGCATTGTTGAGAGCTCCGGAAACGATGTTCACAACCCTATAAGCAATGCCAAGCATCTTGCAAAAATCTTCGGCATTATTCAACATTTCAGACATCATCTTCCAACTCGAATCGTCTTCGGGAGAGGTGATGCAGAATTGCTCGACCTAAGGAAAAAGTAAGATAGCTTCATGAACTTTGACTGTTACAGAAAAGTACCACGATAAATTATTTTCCTGGATCAAATTCTTCTCTTCCAAAATTTGTATCTTGCTTCTCGAGAATTACATCGTTCTAGGACTAAGAGAAAAATGTATCTTCTCATGTCACGAATTCTCCGCACTTAGTTAATGGGTTACTTAATCCGTGAAGGTTGAATATTATTACATACAGAAAAATCCATTACGAGTGAACAACCTCATTGCCCATCTACATTGGATTTGGGATTTTAACAAGTTTTGCTTCAACTAATTTCCAAAACAATGCACTCGTCGAGAAACATAAGAGTCGTTTCAAGCGAGAATACACTTTTAATCCATAAAAAAATCCGTTATGGGTATTTCCCGCTTTGTCACTTTGCTGCATTATAACTCCAAAAACGAACAATAAGCATGATTGAAACACCACCTTGTTAAACTGGTGAACACGGAAAATTCCTCGCGTATCACGACCATGCGATCCAGCTTCTTGTCTGAAGCAGCACGATAAACCACAGTATCTAATAGGCAACGCAGATTCTGCGATCCATTCATCACGATGAAATGCTGCGATCGGCTGCTCCGATGTCGCAATGAGATACTTTTCATCGGCTCCATCTTTTTCGCTACCTTTTCCCGTCACTTTGTACAATTCTTCATCGAATTGGGACAACTGAGCAACCTCTTGCATGACGTCCTTCCTCATGAAATACGGTGGACTCATCGCAGTGTAATCCTTATCAACGAGCATTTTCAGAGATAGCTGGATCAGACCCTGTTCCAAGAACAACGCAGGACCCTGAAGAACGCGGAAAAATTTATTAAAATACATTACGATATCCTTCGCTCCATTTTTGTGTGTCCTGCAATGGAAAATGTAATTTTTCAAAAAATTTGGTTGAAAATAAGAGAACCAATTCTTACTATACAGTAATTTTAAGTTGCTTTCGGACAAATGCATCTAAAAAACAAAAGAATCTCCAACTACGAAATGTTAATTCTGAACACACAAACATAATACAGTACAGTGTGATCTCTCGCTCTCTCAGAGTCTTCCAGGAAATTATCTTGCCATCCATAAAACGAACCCCGAAGAAAGTAGACTCACTAACTGAAACTGAACTGCGCAAGGCTCGATACCTTATTTCCCATAAAATACGACCATTAGGCTGGCAATAGAAACAAAACTGGAACTGCCTAAATGCATCCTCACCATCGATTCTCAAATATACCAACGAGTTTTGACTCTGTTTCATAAACCAAGTGTTTCAAGCGATTGAACTTGAAACTGGAATATAAATATAATATTCTATTCACTTTAGAATTGGTCTAAACTTGCGCAGAAAATGTGTCTTTCAATCCCGGGTAAAAATATTCAAATTTACAAGCTCAGCAGGAGAAGTTCAGCTGAATATGAGAGTGAATAGAGTTAGCTTACCTTCAAATAGTAACCACGAGCACCGCTGACCGCAGCTCCTCTTTCGCTGTCGACACCATCGATCATGTGAATCAAGTCAAAATGCGAATATTTTGTCCTTTGCTCCACGTCACCAACCATGCGCTCCACGGTATTATTATCTTCATTGTCATCGATGGGAACAGAAGGGTGCAAAAGATTTCCGATTTCTTTTAATGCTGTGTTACGCGACGTTTCCGTGATCTCCAGATTCTTGGCGTTAAGCTCCATCTGTTCGTCGATTAACGCCCGCAATCGCTTGATTTGCGTGACCGTCAGCGGCTCGACGTCTTCCAACGTAAGAGATTCCAATTTGTGAACTATATCGTCCGTCAAACTATCAGAATCCCCAGCAGCTTCTTTTTTCTAGATGGGATTTAAAGAAAAATGGGTGAAAGAAAGTGAGTTTAAATTGAAAAAGCGACATACCTTCATTTTATCGCCGATGACTTTGCTGCACATGTTCTTCATCTTGTTCCAAGCATCGGCCATATAACGATGCTTCCGCCATTCATTGTCCTTGTCTATCACGGTTTCAACGAGTTGCACGTCATCAAACCGATCCTTCTGATTTTTCCGGATTTCATCCGGATTACCGCCCTTGTCGGCCCGGAAACTCTCTAGGTCAAGAACCATTTTCGAACGATCCTGGAATCCCGAGAATGAACAATTCTACTTCATAAAAGCCAGCACATTTCAAAATGTTCACTGCACTCAATTGCTCCCACGAAACTCTCAGTTATTCATCACTAATCAAGGCAAGAAAAGAGAATCAACCTTCACATGTCACTGAAACTCCCACCCTTATACAAATCTGTCCATTGTAGCGTTGTTCCTCTGTCAACTAGCACCATCTATCTTCAACACTCAAAACGCACGGTGAAGTTCCTATCCGATTGAACCCACCGGAACCCGACGATTCGGAATTCCTCTGCAGGATTATGCAGCGTATATGTAGTGTATATTTATGCCAATAATAATCTGGAAGACACATATAAACATGAAATCCACCCCTTTGAACTGACTTAGTTTATCGGGTCTGAAAGACAAATTAAGAAAAATGCGACTCGGCGTATATAAATGTAAAAACGTTAATTCGGCATACTTACATGCTATTGACATAATTCTGAGTGCTGTTCTGTATGTGCGTCGAAAATAAGATGTATTTTAGGAAAGCTTATATATACCCGTATAAGGCGATACAGTCCATATATAATGACTACACTACATACAGATCTACAGTATATCCTATAACTTATCACAATATACCATTCTTTGAATATTTAATGCGCTTTAACCGCGGCGATAGCAGTTAGCTTCGCGACCATCAATTCTGCACTATAGTGTCATCTGTCTATAAGGGAAGATAGATGACACCGACTTATACTGTATACAGTTCAGTACTTTATTTTTAAAATCTTGCAGTAAAGCTCATGCACATAAGGGTGACTCATCTGCTGCTGATCGCATGTAATGATGGGCAGGTAAGTTGGTCTCTCATTTCCACTTTCGGTGGTTTCCCTATATTACTGTTTTTGGCCTTTTTGCTACAGCACAAGCCAAAATTGGCACCAAAATGTATCATTGAAAATTACATAAAAATAAAAAGCACTACACTGCTGCACAGCATATATACATCATGTGCTGCGTTATTGCGCCATGAAAAATTAAATATTTCTGATGATTTATCCTGCACCATAAGGGATATTTTCCACCACGGAAAAGCATATCATATCTCATATCCAAAAACCATGCATCACGAAGTTGGGATCTTCTTTATTCATGTACACGCGTCAAACAATTTCTTGAATGTACTGCATGAACCAATACTCAATTTTATAATCCTGAAGATCAAAACAAAAGCAGCAAAGCTGCGACAGGTCCGTTAAGTTTTTCCCAGGATAAGAATCCGTCAGAGTGGGATTTGTACTCAAATACTGTACGCATAGAATTATTTTCTATTTTTAGGAACATAAAAATACGGTTTCGTAGCTGTACTGATGGAGAGTGGACATACATTTTCAATGAAAATGCGATGCTGTATACAGCTACTGTACACATCAATACGATCAACAGTCAACTGACGCATGGCATAACACGTTACACCGCTGGTGCAACATTTGATGTTACAGTATTATTTTATCCACTCAATGACACGAAAGTAACCTTCGGATGCTGCAAGGAAGATTGCCTGAACAATCCAGTATAGATGCCGTACTACGATGCTATAAGGCAGCTCGCGCGCATACAGCATGTATATATACTGTACAACAGATCCGAGGCTGAATAACATGTACTGCTGACGATCACTTGATATACGAGGGTTCTAACAAAAGTTCTCGGAGTAGCAATGAAAATGGCATACAATTGAGCTGAAAAAAAATTTATTCTTTAGCAAAAATATATTCTTTGGCACACAAAAAAATCAGCCCAGTTTGACAATTTTTTTAAATTTTTTGCAAAATTCATCCTTATAGAGTTTTGCTCTCCACTCAAAAAATGAGGCGCCCTTTTTTTGTTGCAGCCCAGCTTTCCCCTCAGAATTTTTGAAATCAACTCGACATTCTTTCTAAGGGTTGCCTTCAGGTCATCCAAGGCAATTCCGCCATTTTCATCAACAGCCGCCACATTGGCCGCCACTTTGGCGGCTGTGAAGGCGGCTGTTGATGAAAATGGTGGAATTGCCTTGGATGACCTGGAGGCAACCTTTGGCATGAATGCCACGTTGATTTCAAGAATTCTGAGGGGAATGCAGGGCTACAACAAAAAAAGGGCGCCTCATCTTTTGATTGGAGAGCAAAACTCTATGAGGATGAATTTTGCAAAAAATTTAAAAAAAATTGTCAAACCGGGCTGATTTTTTGTGTGTGCCAAAGAATATATTTTTGCTAAAGAAGAAATTTTTTTCATCTCAATTGTATGCCATTTTCATTGCTACTCCAAGAACTTTTGTTAGAACCCTTGTAGGGTCATCTTCGCGAAGCATACGTAACTTATTTATACAATATACTGTAGCAAGTCATGTCTACACTAAAATTTGAAATCCTTCGCAATCCAAATTTTCAGCGAGTACTTCGAAATAAACAAATTAAAAGAAATAAATGTATAGAATTGTGAACTAATGAACTTTTAATAATATGTCATCTATTGCACATGACGTGGGTACGTTAACAGGGTGCAGTACATGTACTATATTCACAAATTGTATACAAAAATGTGTACATACTTGTGCATGTGTATACAGCATGGACAGGTAAATATATATGATTAAAACATAGAAATCAAAGCATTTTTTCATTCATTCCTTCATGCTTTTATATCAATTTATATCTATAATAATCGATAGGGAATAGGCCAACATGCATTTGTGTACCTACATCAATAAGGTGTTGCTTAGTGAACTGAAACTTCCAACACCCCAGGATGCATCACGATATACGGGCATAAATTTTGTTTTCCTGCATCTAATACAGCTATTGTAGTACTTTCTCATGACTGTTATGCTTGTAAATTATATACAGCTTCCATAATTCTATATCTACAACTGCATGTTTACCGTACGTATGACACTTAGAACAAATTACAATCAATCCTGCTAAACCTCAAGTATTTCATGCGATGCAATCAGAGGTGAAGTCTCTCCACAACAAAATCCAAGGTTACAGAAAAAATCGTCATAGGGAACCAGCTCTTTTAATGTGGGGAGAAAACCTAATGGGACCAACAAAAAAAAACATCATACAGAGAAAATTAATGTAGAGAGAGAATCCACCTGTACATAGATGTGAGAATCGAACTTCAACCACAAACTTTCTGGAAAAACTGTTGGGGAAAGGTCCAGCACGGCAACACATAGGAACTCTCATGAACACAACAAAACACGCACCCACACATACTGACATACAGAAAAGTCCAAGCACATTATCAATTGAATAATGGCCAAAAAACAGTCATATTACCTTTCAACAGAATAACGCATGCGTTGAATTGAACAATAGTTGTTGACACGGACGAAAAAATCGCGAAGTACGTCAGCCACATCATACACTAAAAGGAATGACAGATCGAGAACCGACACCACAAAAAATTTTTCCATGCAGAAGTCCATTTGGTTAAATGAGATATATTCACAAAATAAATAAAATTGATACGGTACCTATTTTCAAAGACAGAATTCGTACAGTTCGATGACGCACGGAACGAAAAAAAATGCGGAACATAACTTCGAGGATAATGACTTTCAAAGCTATGACGTACTTTCCAAATGAAAGACATTCAAGAATCATTTGGTCTACGTCTCCAACGCTTCGACAGACTCCGACGCAGAGATCTGAAGAAATTATTTCCTCGATCCCTTTCCCGATTGATTTCCGGATCCGTCTTATTTTTATTTCCTGTTTTCTTATTCCCGACAGGATCCGGACCGTCTAGTTTATCCGGAGGCCTTGAAACTTCAGACAGCAACGCAGAATGAAATTCGGACAACTTGGGGCGAATTTTGGAATCAGGCGAACAACCCAGGTTGATGAGTTCTTTCAAAGAATCCGGAAGACTGCTCAAAAGGTTTTGATTCTTGATCTTTCCTTCTGACTTCGCTTTGATCAGATCTGACAGATCATCGTATTTGCTGCTGAAGATAGGCTTGTTGCCAGAGAAGATCTGGAAGAAAATCACCGATAGACTGTAAATGTCAACCGACTTCGTGTACTTTCTGGGGATTTTTCTGGCGGACGTCATTTCCGGAGCCATGTACAGCAAGGACCCAACTTGCGATTTCATGTATTCGAAAGAATTTTCGATTTCCTGTAAAGAAATTGAAAAATACAGCACTTCCAATATTACACGCGATGTGAAATTGAAAGATTTATTAAAGAAAAGGGACAAATTTTGCTTCATTCCGCGCTCCGGAATTAATGCTTGCGTTCTTGTTCTTCTTCGTTCCTGTAACGATTCAGTTCTCCGATTTCAGAAATTTCCAGAGATTTATCGTGAAATGCGGAGCATAAATTGGTCAACGTTCTCCAATATACAGTGCAGTATAATGAGGATTCAAAAAAGAGCCCCATCGTGTTCAACATAGACTTTTATGAGCTCCTGTTGAGGTAACGACCAAACTTCGGACAGCGTATGAAGTGATGATTTTTACGGTGCACGCACACACATAATGAAAAATGCATCAATACTGTACATCGTCGGCAACAAGTTTCAAAAGTTCTGAGCTGCCATGATTCGGAATCGATATGAAATACCCAGCAGTTAGAATGAATTTCAACTTTTGATGCTAATCCGCGCGAGACCCTATACCTTGGCAAAGCCGAAATCAGCGATTTTCGGAGTTTCCGGTTTTCCGAAACAAAGGATATTATCCGGCTTCAGATCCCGATGTACGATATGCCTTTTCTGGTGCAAATACTGCAGTCCGTTAACAACACCAATACAGAATCGGTATGCTTCGAAGATTCCTTCGGGAGAACCGAATTTCTTCATCATTTCAGACGTCAATTTTCCGCCATCCGACAATTCCATTACGATCCCGATATGCTGGTGAGGTAAGCTTGTTACACCAAAAACCTGAACATTAGAAGAATAAAACGAATCCTCATTAATGCATTATTATCATAAATTCCAAACCAATTTCACTGACAATCGCAAGAAACAGGTGTATTTTTGAATTTTCGTTAAAAAATAATACGTCAAGCATCTTAAAAAGATGACTTCATCCTCAAACTCAAGATTAATTGAAACTCCCATTCATACAGAACTAGCCTTGAAAATGTGCCACTTATTCTTAATCGTAAAACCTTAAGCTTAAATTATAAGTGGTGCTCAAAGCGGTGCCAATAGCCACAAATGAACCATAGTGCAAGTATTGGAAGGACAAAGCCAAAACAGGGATAATCTTATTACAACGAACATCTAGGGACCCTTTAAAAGTTCGTTGTATAACGAGGAAAATATAAAAATTTCAATTTTTCTGAAATCCGACATTAATTTCTGTAAACATCATTCTTCCCGCCATACTGGAAAAATTCTGTAGCAAAATAAAAAGTTTACCGCACAATACAGCAACAACAAAAAATGCGTCACACAAGAAGCATATACCAGTCCGTAAGAAAAATACTCGATCAGGAATTCTCATGAAGTACTGTACTCTGATTTTCCATCAAGTAAAATTTGTTCGACCCTGCTGAGAAAACCGAATATAAATTCACAATTGCTTCATTCAAATGGAGGACGAAAATTGGGAGCAAATTGATACACCTGTATTATAATCACCTTAAGAAGAGCAATGGAAACCCCCCCCAAAAAAAATTCATCATGATGAATTTCGAAAATTGCTTCCGAGATTATTTCAGCGTTATGTCTACGATACTCCTAATGGAACCATCGTATAAGTTTCATATTGATGAATTTTCATTAAAAAATAATTTAGGCTGCATTTAAAAAAATCTTTCACGCTGATCAAGGCTTATTTCCCCCAAGTTGTGCCTGAAGATCCCAACGAAGCTCACCATGAAGAACACACTTTTGGACAACAACAAAAAACTGCAAAAACGAGTAAGTGACATGTACCGATTAATAAGGGTAAAAAATTGATTAAGGCGGAATTATGTTCTGTATACTCACGCGAACAACGTGCGCATGATTGCACTTCATCACAAGTTTGGCTTCTCTGATGATCGCAGCGGACTTCTTTGAATCTTCCCACTTGATCAGCTTCACAGCAACCTCCATCTCCTTCCATGTTGCAACAACAACCCTTCCGAAAGAGCCCTCACCCAGTTCCCTGTAAGCTTGAAGCTTAACCTCTTCAGGCTTGATAACCAACGGCGATTTCAATTCGCGCAAATACTCTGCAGAAATCTCAGCCCGAGACATTTTGGATTCAAATGCACGAGAAGACCTTTCTAGAACATCGAGACCTCAGTAAAGACTAAAATGACGCAAACGCGACAATCTTCAATGTTCCTCACTCTAGTGGTGACACATATTTCGATAAGAAAACCCGCACGTTAAAAATTGTCATGAAAGACAAAGATAACGCACTTCCCTCCATAAAACGAAGAGGGGAGCCTTATCAGAGAATAGCTACTGATCGAAGTCAAGATTCTTGCCATCAAGGCCAAAAATTTAAATACTGTGCAAAGAAATCACAGTGGAAATGGAGAATCTAACTCTCCTTCTGGGAAGTGCTTAGATGATCATCCAGATTATGGTTCTATCTTAACTCCAATTCTTCGTCATCTGTAAAATGAATCATGGCCAGTAAATTAGTACATTACTGCACACCACAAAATTCCTTACCTTCAATAATTTTTCAGATTTTCCAACTTGACCTGTACGTGTCCTTGTCCCACATTTTTGATATACATATGATATGATGAGTCAAAAACATATTTTGAACTAGTATCCCAATTAACTGGAATTCAGGAAGAGTACCTCACTCAATATATACCTAGGTTGCAATTTAAAATCTGATCATGCGTACCTGACATTGATTGCTATCGAGAAGAAATGGAATTTGATCGAAACGAATCAATTTTGGAACTAATTTATCATCCAAACGAAATCATCTAAAAAAAATTATTTAGAACATGTCATGAATATCTTGGGTAGTTATTTTACAGTTGTTTGCTGTACAGTACGCATAACAATTTCATCTACTAATCTCATCTAAGTAAAATTTATTATGGAGTATTTCAAGATACGAAAATATACACCTGTTCGAATGTTATCTGAAAGGTAATCCCTCACTAAACGACCGCTTCTTCATTCAATTAAAGTAACAGAATATTGACTACAGTATTAGATTAAGGCCTATTAAATTAGGAGATTTTTAAAGGAGATTACAAAACAAAATAGCATCTGTTTAGAGGTGAATTTGTACCGATCCAACGCAATTCGGGATGAACGTTGTATCAAAGCTTATAAAACGCGAGTAATCAATGACCGATCAGCGATGAAAATTACCGGAGGACAGAAATGAAGGAAACAATATCTTAATTACCAAAAAGCTCGTTTTCAAATCAAACTCGATCACAAATTCTGCCACACGCTAAAAAAAATAATAATTCAATTCACCGACAGGTACAGCATTGAAAATGAGGTACGTTCGGGCGCATTACCCTTGCTTTCAGTTTACTGCATAAGAAATGTAAGAAAAAATGAAAAATTAGATGCATAAATCTGCATCGGAAAAACGCACCTTCTCGTGAGTAATGCATACAACCCGAAGGTTCATCATAAACTTGCGATCACAAGAACCGGCAAAATCCGTACACATTCCTGAGAAATCCTCATTTGTACAATGTTCCTCTTTTGTCTTTATACGAAGCCTCGAGAATACTTATCATGGTGTCTCATAGATGATCGCACGCACGAGAAAATGCCAACGTAAGGTAACGATGTCTTCCGATTACAAGTTCTAAATAATCGCGAACTTACAAACAATACCGAAAAGCGCGAGATGCGTCTAAATAAAAGGCAACTAAAAAACCGGGTCCTTCGAGGAGCACGATACCAATTCGGAGTGCTACGAATAATGCCAGATCACTTGTCTCCTCGGTCAAGCCGTCATCAGGACGCAAAAATGACCTGGTTTCTCTTCAAACCTGAAGGAGAAAAAAATTTGAAAAATCACGAGCACAGTAACAGACATGGGAACACTTACTTGTATCCTCCCTTCTGCAAGAAATTTCTGACGAAAGGAAATAACTTGGCTCGCTTGCCATGGCTCCGATTTCCCTTCCCAGTAATGATCACCAGCGTTCTCTGGATGGTACGGGCATTATGCAATCGGATTCTATCGAGTTTTGCTTTTTGGTCCTGAAGCCAATTTCTCAAGCACTCTTCAGCTTCCGGAATTTGAAGATAATGTAGATCAAGAGAATGTGGATTTTCACCAGAATTCATGGAAGATGCAATTATGGCGGCGGCGTTTTCATTCTCTTTCTTGTATTTCGATGCAAACGAAGCACTCTGAAAGGTAAATTGAATTTTACATAATTTCACAGAAATTTGAAGATGCATACGTCTGATTGGAAAGAAATACTCGACTAAAAAAGAAAATAATAAAAAACATCTTTTCACGAAATCATAAAACCTTGTAATGTATCTCTACAGTAGCTCCTCTATTTTTTCCTCTTCCGATATCAGTAGATTGAATTTCTACCGTACCTCTTCATAAGGAATGCTTCCACAGTACAGGTACAGTAGATTATAAAATTTATGTCCAACACAAACCAAGTCTCAAAAGACACAGCACATTTCATATATGAGGTTTGTTTCAGTTTAGATCTTGAACCATGCAATACCCAGGCAATTAAAGGAGGAGACTACACTAGAGACGAAAACGTGATTCAGGAGACCGATTGGTCAGAAATCCCTTCCGATTGCCTGTTGCATTTTGTTAGGGTGCTAAACTTGAGTCTTCCTCACCATTGCTCTATAATGATCGATCAAACCGGGAGTATTCCTCGCCTGAGGATCATTCGCTCTTTCCATGTATTCGTGGGCTTGTCTGAGGTAATGAAGAGCCTTTGCACGCAGAGCATTGGGATCTACGCTCACCGGGGCAGATTTATTTTCCTGATGAATATTGAAAATCAAGTACGTTCACAAGGAAGAATACCCGCGCGTACTCACGATCAACTTGTTGCTAGGATCACAGCCGTTATCATTACGAGTCTTTTCTATTGAGCGCAGTTCATCATCTTCGATTCGACTGATGCTCATTTGCAGATTAAACTTCGTGTCAAGGAATATGGATGTAATTATGTCATCATCGATGTGCGGGTAGCGGATCAGCAAATTGATCCAGTTCAGTTGATCAGTCTCCATGAATTGAGAGGCGACGTCGTAGGCATCCTGAAGACCGACGAAGATTAGGGAAAGAATGAGAATATAGAAAATGAATTAGAACATATAAAACGCGATAATTGCTTATCGACTTGCCTGTCGCGTTTTGAAGATCGTTGTGGAAGTAATATTCGCCTTAGACTTCTTCGTTGGCTGTTTCAACGATTCGTGAAGGTCGGGGAATGCCGCATCATAGAGAGGATCAACTCTGTTTTCTGATACTTTAGTATCTAGACAGATCCGACATCAGAAATTGAAGAAAAATTAAATTCCTTAATTTGATCTCAAGGAATGCTGGGCTTGAAGAACAAACCAGAGAAATGAAGGCTTGCTACCGATAGATTTTCTTCAATCACGCGTACAGCAGCATCAAAATCGTTGTCGACGCTTGCAAGGATGAATCCCAAAGTCATCGGATTAACATCAGAAAACTTGGCTGAAATTCTTTCGAAACGATCTTCGAGCTCAAAATGGAGAGCAAGCTTTCTCGCGAAATTTTCATCCTGCAATACAACAGATTATCTTTCAGGAAATAGACAGTAATTACCACGGAAAGATCGCAAGGGATAAAGGTGAGCCAACAGAACAAGTATGAGCGGTACAAGCGCGATTTTTCTGAAGCACTTCCACCGACCAGTTCAACTCACATAGTTGAATCTGGTGCTGAATACTTCTCGTACGAACTCATTTTGAGACAGACAAGAATATGCAGGCGCTATTCGGGAGCATCTCACCTCATTCATCATTGAAGTTGCTCCATGGAATCAATTCCCGAGGCTGAACATGGGCACGGTGAGGTCAATAGAGGAAATTTGCGCACAGTTCACGTAAAGGAGGATAATGGCGCACATATTAGTACCAGCAATCCTGTAAGACGAATTGTCACATCTTGTATCACTGCATACTACACAATCTGCATATCCCACACATTCTTGAGTTGGGTTTCCGCGGATTATCGCAAGCATTGCAATTCACTCTTGAATTTCTTAGTAAAATATTGGGGTCTAGTGTACTTTAGCAATGCCAGTGAAACGTACTGTGCGCGTCAAAGCGCGCGGCCATTAATTTTACCGTGCTGCCCTCTATGTACCCTTGCAAAGAGTGGCACATGACGCGGCTCAGTAAAAACGACGCGGCGTCGTTTATGATCTTGTCTCCTCAATACTACATTTTTAAAACCTATAGCTGTTATTGCGGCACACTCTTGTCCTTTTCTACCCATTAAATCTGATTTTTCAGCACTCCAAAGCTATAATGTTTTGCTCAAAGTTCGAACCACATTTCCTAGAATGTGTTTCACATTTGAAAAACCTATGGAACAACCCATCTTATCATTTCATAGATATATGGACAAATTATTTTCTTAGGACTGTAGTTAGTATACCTGCTACACCCATTCCTGAATAAGCAATGTATTTCCGATTCTTGAAGTCACTCATACACGACCGCAGGAGAGAGAGTGTTGGGTGCCGGGCGTGAGGGGATGGGGGGCACAGGGGAGAGGAGTTCTGACGGCGTGCGATCCAGCTCCGGCGAGAATGTGCCTCACCAAGACATGTTGGTCCGTGAATTGTTTGTCTAAGAGCTTATATCCTAAGATAAGTGAAGTTATGGTACTGTATCTACAGGCCCGTACACGGCTGCAGGACGACAGTTCAATGAAATTCGGTGATCCAAAATTTCAGATAACACTATTTTCAGTGGATGAATCATACAATAAACCCCATGCAACCTGGAAACGTTGGTAGAGTAAGGTGTTCGGTCGGTAGAGTAATGTACGGCCGGTTGGGTAGGATAGATGCACAGGGTTGTATTGGTTCTTCACAAGTAACTTTCCTTTTACACAACAGTAGAAGCTAAGACACTCGGCGAGGCGGCGTAGTCGGAGATGCTGAGTGTCGAACAGTTCAGTCAAGAGTGACCCGCGTTGTCCTTTTCGCGCGCTTATGTGCTTGTTGTCTTGACCCTCAGTCCCGTTAGGTTCTCTTGTGGTTTTGCGGCGGATGTTGTTCCCGGTTGGGGACCGTTAGGTTCTCTTGTGTGTGTCGTCGGATGTTTTTCCCGGTTCGGCTTAGGGTCGCGTCCTTGTCCTTTTATGCGATCTGTTGGGGGAGATAAGGTTGGAGTTAATGTGCTTTTGGTGTCTTTGTTGTTTTCGAGATGGATATCTCTGACTAGGAGTTAATGTGCTTTTGGTGTCTTTGTTGTTTTTGAGATGGATATCTCTGACTCTCCCCCCCCCCGAAAAGGCGCTTGGCTACAAGTGTCGATCGGAGGTGTTGATCGGCGGCCCGCGTGCCGCCCCGGTGGGGTCGTTGGCCCTGGTCAGGAGGCAGGGCCCCCTTGTGCGGTTGCGGACTGCGGTGCAATAAAGGTGCTTGCAGACGTGATCTGCGGGCATAGCGTGGGTGCGCGGGCGCGCGTAGTGATGTTCCTCGGTTTCCCCTGGTTTCTCCCTTGGGGTAAGTTCGCGGAGGAACTTAAGGTGTGTCTCGTAGCCCGGTTGCGGGGGTCGTGTCCCGTGTGGCCAGAGTTGTAGTTCCCACGCAGGCAAGAGCGCAATGCGGGCGTCGGTGCCCACGGCGTAGTGTCCTGGGGCCTGTTGTCGCAGGATCATGAAGGGCCCCAGGCGTCGTTTTCGAAAACGTCGGGAGGCAGCGTGGAGCGCCGTGGATGCCATCCGCGGGCGGACGGTCACCATATCGCCCGGATGGAACTGGGGATACTTCTTCTGGTTGGCTTGGCGGAGGGATCGTTCTTGCTGCTGGCGGAGATAATCGGTCACCGCCGCTGCGTCCGTCGCGGCCGGTGAGGCGACGCCGAAGTGGTCGTCGGCGGCCAAGCGAGGTGTTGTGCCCAGGAAGATTTCGCTGGGTGTGACGCCCGTCGAGGTATGTGGCGTGAGGTTGTATGCGGTCACCGACGTGGGTAAGTACTTGTGCCAATTTTTGCTGTCCCCCTTCGCCATTTTCGCTTGTATTTGCCCGATGGTGCGGATGGCGCGCTCGCATGTGCCGTTGCCTTCCGGGTGATTTGCGTGCGCGATGTGTTGTTCGCAGCCCGCTTGGGTGAGGAATTGGCAAAAAGCGCGGGATTTGAAAATCGCGGCCCGGTCGGAGTGGATTGTCCGGAATTTCCCAATGTCGGTGAGGATGGTGTGAATCTGGTTGATTGCCGTGGCCGTGTCGGCGCGTCGGACGGGGGTTGCCACCAGAAATTTGGAGAATTGGTCGATGGCGATGAATGCGTACTTGTGTAGACCCGCGGAGCATGGGAGGGGGCCGTAGAAATCTATGCAGAGCCAATCCCATGGCTGCGTGACGGGGATGCCGCTCATGCGTTTGCCCGTTGTTGTTGTGCTATCGTTGTAGGTGAAGCATTCTGGGCAGTCAACGAGTTGTCTCCAGACGGTGTGCCGCATGTGGGGCCAGGTAAATCGTGCGCGTATTGTCTGTAAGACTTTTTTCCAATTTGCGTGTCCCAGGTTGAGGTGGTATAAGTCGATCACCTCGCGGTACTGTCCTGGGTGTACGGTGAGCCGTAGGTCGGCCGCGTTGATGGAGACCTGGCTAAGGGCGTCGGGCGCGTGTAGGGATGCGCCGGGGCGATATTTGAGTTCCCCCTGGTATTGTCCCAGTTTCATTTGCATTCGGATCAGCCTGGATGATTTTAGCTTGCCCAACAGTGGCTGATGGTTGGTAATCATGCGGAAAGCCCGGTGTTCCAGGTAGTGCCGGAACTTCTTCGTGACGGCCCATACCATAGCCAGTAGCTCGCGTTCGGTATTGGTGTAGCGGGTTTCTGTGTCCGTGAGGACGCGACTGGCGTATTGGAGAACCGCCGGACCGGTGTCGGGGTGGACCTGTACCAGGACTGCGCCGAGGCTGGTGGCCGAGGCGTCGGTGTGGACCTCGATGGGCTGATGCTCGTCGTAGCGTTCCAGTCGGGCGGCGTTGGCGATGGCGGTCTTGAGCTCGTGGAATGTGCGCGTTGCTGTCGTGGACCACTGCAGGGTCATGTTCGGTTTGGCTGGGATGGTGGAGCGTAGAATTTTTTCCGCTGTGGCGAAGTTGATGGGCACATGTGCGCGTAGATAGGTTGCAAGCCCCAGGAAACGCTGCATTTCCTTGGTCGTTTTCGGTTGGGGATATTGTTCCACTGCTGCCAGGTTGTGGGGGGCCGGCCTGGCCCCCGTCTGATCAATGAGGAGGCCCAGAAATTTGATCTGCATGGCCAGAAAGGTTGACTTGGCGATGTCGATGGCGGCTCCGGCCTCGTCGAGTGAGGTGAGGACATCCTGGAGGTTCTGGCACACCGTCTCGTAGGTTTTCCCAAAGACGATGATATCATCGATGTAGGCTAAACACTTGGTGAGTAGGTGTGGGTGTAGGATGTCGTTGATTGCGCGTTGGAAGAGTGCCGGTCCGTTGCGTAGCCCAAATGGTAGTACCGCATATTGCATCTGCCCTTGGGGGGTAGAGAAGGCGGTTTTCGGTTGGTCTTGTGGCACAATGGGCAGGTGGTGGAAAGCGCTGTGCAGGTCCACCGTGCAGAAGAATGCGTTCTGCCGTCCCAGGGCGTCGACCAGGTCTTGTATAATGGGCATCGGGTAATTGTCAGGTACCAGGAGTGTGTCTAATTTCCTGTAATCTTTGACGAGGCGCCAGCGTTGCCCGGCAGGGGCGTCGGGCCATCCGCTCTTCTTGGGTGTCAGGAACGCCGGGGAGTTGTAGGGTGACGTCGCAGGCTCAATGATGCCTGCGGCAACGTACTCTGCAATGATCTCCTTGAAGGGCGCCAATTTTTCGGGCGCCTGTCGGAACAGGGGTGATGCCGGGGGTGCTGCCGTCGTGGTATCCAATGTTACCGTGTACTCGGGGAGGCATCCCCTACGCCCGGCCCACTGGAAGACTGCGTCCTGGTGCTGCAGTAGGATTTGACGGATGCCTTGTTGCTCCTGGTGCATGCCGTCGACAAAGTGGATGCCGTGTCCGGGCTGCAGCGTGGGTGCTGCGCGTCGTTTGGAGTGGTAGCGGTATCCGACGTAGAGCTGGTTTCCCTTGAGTCCAATGGTGAGGGGGAGCTGGCTCATGAGATTGCGGCCCACAATGATGTGGTGAGCCGCGCGCTGCAGGACCCACAGGGAGGTCGGGTAGGGCCATTTGTGGATGAGGAGGTCGGCCTGTACCCGCTCGGTGATGCAGATGTTGGTGGTGTCGGCAGTAGATACTGCCACGTCTGTCGGTATGAACTTGAGGTTCAGTTCCGTGGCCCAGCTATGTTCGATAAACGAGTGCGATGCCCCGGTGTCGATCATCGCGTCGCAGTGGCGGTTGCCGATGGATACTTGGATGAGGATGGGATCTGATGCGGTGGCGACTGTGTTGAGGAAGCAGAGCGCCGCCAGGCCTACTCCCTTTGGCCGTTTCCTGTCTGTTGGGTGCAGTCCTTGGCGTGTTGTCCCGTCTTCTGGCACGTTGCGCATGGGAGGATAGCGCTGGCGGTTCCGGTGTCCGGTTTGTCCTTCTCCTCGCGTTCCCGCTTAGTGTACGCGGGGTGTTTGGGGTCCCGGAAACGGGCCCGGCAGGTCTCCGTCGTGTGGCCCTGGGATCTGTGCCAGTCACAGTATAGCTTGGTCCCGGGAGTCAGTTTTGGTTGTCGGTCGGTCTGTGCTTTGGTGCTCGGTGTGGCGGCCGCTCCTGTGTCTGATTGTTCGTCCAGCAGGTTCCTGATGCTGTCCGCCAATTTGATGAGGTCGTCCCAGTGGATATCGGGCTTGGTGTTCAGCTTGGCTCGGAGTTTATCGGCGATCCGTCCGTCGGCAACCTGGAGGAGTTGCTCGATGAGCATCGGGTGCATGACGTGGAGG